AAATTGATGCACTTTCTCCGCCATTCAGCTGTAAAGTTAGTTCTGTACGTCTGATTTCCTGCACCACAAAAAATATGCAAGCATCAGGGATTGGTTCTTAAAAAGAAAATCAGAACGATTTCAAACTAAATATAACATTAATCTCACTAAAATATTTTTTAGAATTTTTTATTTTGTTATTTACATAGATAATTCTTATTTATTGTAATTATACTTTACAAACGATACTTTTCTAAATTTTTAATAACTGGATAAATTAACGGTCATCATTACTATTAACATTAATTTAAGTTTTGTTTCTATATTTGCATATAACAAAATTCTAATTTTAGGATAACTATTAATCTATGCAACTCTGCCAAAAATCTTCTTCCTCATTACAGAATCAGATCAGAGATCACAATTTAACTATCAAATGATTTGTTAGGCTCGGGTTAATCCTAATTTAGCATAATGTGCCGATGGAATACCAAGTTGCCGTTCTTTTCACATACCTGGCAGCAAGTTCATGTCCCCCATGACCTCGTCCAAAGGCATAGATATGGCCATGCAAATTTCACCTGCACCGAAGATTGGGTTTTGGGTTTTCCGCGGGGTATTGCATATTTTGTCATATGCAGAATGGCTATTAAATATGTGCATGACATGGTATGGTAATTTCAACAATAGATGGATGTCGTTTAAGAGTTATGGACATTTTCAATACCCAGCAGACAGCCGAGTTGTCAATGATCAAGGAGAAGTTCATTGTGCCCGTTTGAATAGCAAGCGTTTTGAATGGAAGCATTTTAAATGCATTTGCTTGAAAAACGCCTCGAAAATGTTCTGAATACGAAAATAAGGGTACAACATTGTTTAAAGTAAACGTTTGGTGGGGCGTATGTTTTCTTTAAACAAATTAAAATAAGTTTTGAAATAAATATTTAGGGAAATCATAGAATAATCTAAAACCACATAATTTACATGCATAATAATTAACCTAATTTTTAGAGAAACACCATAGATTCCTTTGAAAATTCTGATAGTAGGGTAAGGATTTAGTCTTTAGAGTTTTAGTTTTCAAAGTATTGTTACGTTCGGCATTCATAACAACAAAAAGGCATTCGCAAAACCAAAACGGAAAAATGCAATTGCATTTTTTTGCATTTCATTCGGAAAAAAGATCAATAAAAATCAAATAATACGAGAAAACTTGCTGCGACTGGGGATCAATCACATTTATGCTAATTAAACTTACATAATATCGTTGCGGTTCGGCTACATGGACAGTATACCTTGACAAATTCAATTCAAATTTTGTTTTGACAAATTTCGTGTGTGCAGAGCGAAAAATGCAAAATGCTTAGATAAGCCGACTGACTGGCTAGAGATATCGATGCCGATATAGATAGATATAACGCTTAGGAAATGTAGCAACTTTATTATGCAGCCAAGATGTTGGGCAAAAATGTGGAGGGGTTGGCTCCGATTGTGGAGAGGGTGGTGCACCCCACTCCACTCCACTCCACTCCATTGTAGCACAATGAACGGCTGTTTTGTGGTTCTTGCACTTTCGCTTTATTAATATGCACACCACCTACATTTGTGTTGCTCGCTTTTCTCGATCCGATCGATTTCTCCGCTGCAGTTCACTGGCCAGCAGCTATGGTGGGATCGCCATATCGTATCGGAACGGAACGGATCGGCTCGGATCGGATAGGATCGAAATCCGTTAATGCCGTGCATGCTGCATAAAGCAGAAGGGAAATTGTTACGGGAAGACGATCTGCGTTCGTTCACAGATCACCGTTCCGCGATCCGATCGATGCGGATGCTGGCGACCATTGTTCTACTGCTGAATTGCAAATCAGGCCCATAGTTCTCACTGCTGCAATTTGACGTTTGTTGGGGCAGGCAACCGATCTTCCCGAGATGTTTTTCCGTTTTCCACACTGCAAGAAACAATAATTAAGTGAAGAGCGATGGAAAGAAACCAAGAAACCTGAATATCCTTGGTGAAAAATTAGGGTAATGAATTTGATTTAAAGATGTAAACAGTAGAACTAATAATATTGCAAATAATACTCCAAATAAATTAAACCGAATAACTAATTTTATAAGTTAAAATTTGTATAAGTATTGGGTGATTGGGATTTCAATATTTTAATATTAAGGCAGCAGAATTTTATTGCTGACTTTTCTTACTTACATCTTTAACCCTTCTGACTCTACGTAATTTTCTATTTTGCTCGCTGTGCATGTGGAAGCTCCAGTTCAGTCAACCCGCCTGGTCAACGACTCCTCAGCCGCTGGACACACGTGGGTGTGGAGCGTGGTGTCGTTGCCGTGGCCTTGTCGCTTCCCCCCATCCAGGTTGAATGTCCCGTTGTGTCTTTGAACTCCCTGCCAGGGCTATGGCTATATCCATGGGTCTGGCTATGGCATAATGCCCATCGAAGTCGCCAGACAGTCAGACGTCTCGATGAATGAGACAACGAACCCTCCTCGTTGGCCGCTGGCAGCAGCCGCCGAAAAAAAAAAAACGTTGAGAGATAAATCAATAAATAAGCAAATACCAGCCAAAATCGAAATATACCTGACGCGATCTTCGCATGCAAATCGGCGGGAATGGCAGAGTGGAGTTCTCCCTCGACGGCCACTAATTAAAATTACAAATTCGCCCTCGCCCAGCATTGGGCAAAAAGGAAGACGCCTCTTCGCTGGCTCCGGCAATTAGCATCGCTGGGCTAGGTTCTTTGCCGGATTGATATATGCATAAAGACGGCTACGTGACTTGAATGAAAGCGCTCCCCCGATGACAAAATCCTTGATCGCAGCGTTCATTGATCTCCGATCTTGCATCGCCAGAGGCTGTTGCCAAGTCGAACTTCCAAACTTGCAGTCACCACAAAAACTGGGGATTCTAGTGATATTTCAAAACATAAAACACTGTTATCCAAATGGGGCTAGAAAAAGGTAGAGAAATTATCATTTAATAAAACTAAATGTAAATATTTTCAAAAAGATTTAAATTTGTTTTTATGAGTTAAAAGTTGCTACGAAATCTTTTTAATTTGAGCCCAAAGAATCTGCATCCTCTAGCAGTTTCCTAGTCGAATTTTTTTTGCAACTTTAAAACCCATCTTCCCACAGTGCATTCGTGCTGATAAATAAATTCTGGCATTAACCTGCCATATATTTTCATTATGTGCGACACAGAAAGTCGTGTTTTATTTCAACACAAGTGGATTTTAATAATAAAATGTGTCTAATTTGGTACCCACTCGCTTCGGACAAGAAGAAGAGAAGGAGAAACCTGATTGCATTGCCTTTTTGTACGTATATATATTTATTTTTATTCCGCCAACCCACCAGTGGACCAATGGACCAATGGACCAGTGGATGGGATGTGGCTGCCTTGGTGCACTTTCCTCGGCGGCTTCCTTCCCGCCATTATGTGGTACGTGCGAGGCGTCAATGCTTCATCTCCCCTGTCATCTTAAGTTGATTGCAAGTTACGACCGTGTTGACACCCTACCTGACTCGCTCCTCCGCTCGGTTAACGGTAATTGCAGTTGCGCATTCGTGCGCCGGGGTTATATGGCTCGCGATTATACTACGCGCACTGCGACCACATCGGGATCCGGGGTTAATTCCCGGCCTACTCCTGACCATGTGCGGGCGGCTTATTAATCAGAGCGTTCGTTGCACAATGCTCCTGCCACGAGTCTCTCTGGCATGATTCATGCTTAATTGGCTTCAGATAGTCACACTGCAAAAATAGAGTACATAATGAATTATTAAATCTTTAAAAAACATCTTTCTTTCTTTGGTAGTAGCAATAACTAGTTTAAAACAATGCTATTTTTAATCTATTCAAACCAAATGTAATTAACCTGAACTAAGTTAATATTTTAGGTTGGTAAACTTTTCTAAGTGCCTTCAACCCGAAAGCGAATCCAAACCCGAAACCAATCCAGCTGTAAGCCGTGCAAATCTCACCCAAGTTGTCAATTTCACAGACAACACATTTCAATCAAACTTCGCCGTGCCATAAATAAGCCGCCAAGTGGACAGATCCAAAAACCTGGTTCCACTCCAATCTTTTAAGTCTCCCTCGCTTAAATTACACATTGTACTTGTGGTTGCTGTATATAAACTGGCTTGTTGTTGTTGTTGTTGTTGCCGAGCACGCCTAACGTTCACATTTTTCCACATGAAATTATGAAGTTTCCATGGCAATTAATACGCATGCGCAGAGTTGCGAGCTCTGGCGAGGGTTCCAAGTCAAGTCAGCCAAATCCCAAGCTGCCATTCCAGGCGGGTGTTGTCGTCCGTCTCCAGCTGGCTCGCATGTCAATTTGATGGCAATTAACTTGGGCTCCGGCTTTTGTTTTAATAATAAATTTAATGAGCTGCCAAAAATGGTTGCAAATTTACGTGGCAATTAGCGGGCTAAATGACGGCGACACTTGGCCAACAGATCGTGTCTGGGCGGAAAGCTGCGACTCCGACTCCAAATGTGTACAACTGTCCGTCTGCCGCTGCTCCATTTTGCTAATGAGCGCTGCGATTTTTCTCGTATCTTTTGGGGCTTGGCTAAGAGGTGGTGCTCACTGCTCACTGCTCAGTGGTTTTGTGTGGTGCGAAGGCATTTTGGAGGGTGTGGTTGCATAGATTTTCGGCGGTGGGTCAGTTGCTGGCTGCAAGGTGACAATGTTGCTGGTGGCCTAATGGTGGTAATCGTCCGTTTGGTTCGCGATCTGTGGGTTCATTTTCAAGATAGAGCTGCTGAAATGAAATTATATTTACACATGTACTTTTAGTAACAAAATGCTCGAAATAAAGGTGTACATTAAACCAATTATCAGTTTTTTTTTTGGATTAGGATCTATTGTTGAACTAACAAAAATGTTAGTTATATACTTACAACGGTTAATCTTCTCTTACCCAACTGAATAAAACGCTTACCTCATTAAAAAAAAAAGTGTTATTCGGTGTAAAATGGTATTACAATTTGTTTGTATAAAATTTGTGAGATCGACGATACATATTAAAAGGCCACCGAGGGAATAATAGGTATTCCTCTACACGGAAGACATCTGCGGATGGTAGCCATGCATCTTGTACAGTTCCTCCTTGGACAGTGTCCTGTCAATCTGCTCGGGATCCAGTTGAAAGTGACGCGGCTGGATCTTCCACTGGCACATGTTGAAGTAGTTGTACTCGCCGGACTCCTGGTAGCCCTTATACGAGTAGTTAGGATTGTCCGCCTGACGGATGATCCAGTAGAGCATGAACTTGTGATACCGCCAGCCCCGTTCCGCCAATTCCGCTGCTGCGAGCATCTGCAGCAGATCTCCCGTGAAGGTGTAAAATAGGTAAAACAGCAGCTCCACCTGCATCTGATCAGTCCTCGGTTGTGGAAGACCCAATCTTCCAGCCAGGCGGAAGCTTAATGGCACATTGTAGTTGTAGTTGGAGCCGGGAAAGGAGACCCTGCAGGATCCTCCGTACTGGACATTATCGCCAAAAAGGTTCGGCATCAGCCGGGGATTTCGCTGGACCGATCCCAGTTTACTAGCCAGTCCCAGCATTCCAAAGCTTCCTTCAACAGCGGAACGTGGCGATTCCGAATTCATTTTCCACATCCGGTCGTACAACGGAGTTCCCAGCTCAAAGTTGACGCCTCCCAGTGGCATTCCTGTGCCATTGGTCTTCATGCGGGCAAAGATTTTGGTGTTCTCGAAACCCGGAGGAGGATAAACACTCTCTTGGTTATGCCTCTTGCGGCTTGCAATGAGAGCCCTCTGTCGGACACCCTCCTGCAGGAATTGCTTGCCAAAAATCAGGCTCACATCGAAGCCCGAGGAATTGACAAGGTAACTATTAAATTGCGGAAAGGAATCCATGGCCTTTTCTTGACCCTGGACATTCGCCAGAAAGTCATCGCTGCTGTCGGAACCGACCTTCGTGTCGCTGGACATGACTTCATCCCTGTACTTGGCCAACTCAGCCCGTTCTTCCTCGCTCAAAGCAGATTTCCAGTCGACGGGAACCGTTGAATTCGGATCCAATGGCAAGTTTGCGGTGCGCGGCAGAGCCGGAAAATCTTCCGGGAAAATACTGAACTCCGGTGAAACAGACCGAGGCAATGGAGGTGTTGGCAGAATCCTCTCCGTTGGTCGGTTCTTCACCACATCCACGTACAAAACGGGATATCCATTGGTGGTCGGCGGCGGCGAAGATCTCGGCGAGGATAATGGCGAATATGGAGGGGGCGGGCTAGACGACTTGTCCTTCTCGCGCTGCTCATCCACAATATTAGTAATGCTACGCTTCATCGTGTACTAGAGATTTAAATTCAATTGTTCTGCAATTTCAACACAGAAGTTCGAGTTACATAAGTCGCACGTGACATAAAAAGAAAGTTGCTTGCAGTTCTGCTCGCCAAAATGGCAGAAAACACTTTCCAACACTTCTTGTTAAAATCCTTCGATAAATAAATCGATAACCAGAGAAAGGCAGCTCATCAAGTCACGAATTCTGTTACAAACTTTAAGTTGTTAGAATTTCGGTTTTAATTGATGTGATTGGGTTATATTACCCTTGTAGCAATGCGAGCTTGTAATTTAATCAAGTTTGAAAAACATTTGCTAGCTAAACAACATTATAAAACATTTTGTAATGCCTAAACCAATGTTAAAGTTGTAAAGACTTAAAGTTAACACAAAAGAAATAAGATTCAAGCTCTTAAAGTTTGCTGAAATTTACAGCTGTTATAAATGATTGTCTAACATTGAGTGGGTGCCACGGAAATTGCAATAAAGCAATTTAAAGCCAGAGTCATAAATTCAAGTAAATTCACCTGCAGCTGGCCAAGAAAAACAGCGCAAAAACTGCTTAAAAAATAGGAAAGTAAGACGCACAAAAAGGCTCATCTATAAAAAAAAATATGAAAAACTGGTTGGGGAGTATAACCCATTAACTTAAAATGACACTCGACTAACATAAATCTCGTTCTTTGGCCAGGCAAATGTCTCTGGGAATTGACAAAAGGAAAGGCCGCTAAAAAAAAGAAGGAGAAGGAGGAGCAAAGAAGACGAGGAGGAGCAGGAAGATCAGGCTAATAGCCCAAGTGCTCCTGCCCACAAAAAGCTAAGAAGTATATGGTCATTTGCCTGCCGCAAATCAACGAACTTGTCCAGCGGCCACAAAAGTCACAACACTCGCGGAATCAGGTGCATGGCTCCCACTGCTCCTTTCCAGTGCTCCGCAAATTAAGCACAAATAATATAAAAATACAATAACGTGGAATCGCAGCCGCTGGCCAAGAAAAATGATATACATAAGCACGGTCAAGTTGCAGGATCAGCACACGAAAAACGAAAGAGTTTGGAGAGGTTACAGAACCGAAGTTCGTAATACCTTAGCATAACATAGCATTTAAAGAACAAAAATTAGTTATACACGTATAATTAATATCCATTTTGAACTAGTTTGCATCTGTAAAGATATCTTAAAATCCAGTAAGTTATTTATCTCATTGTTTTACCATTTCCAACTAATAATATAATATTCCTGTTACAGAAGTTGTTTAAAATACCCCTTAAAAGGGTATTTCAAAGCACTCAGATCCCAGGACTGCAACTAACGAAGCCAAGCGAAGCCATCACGAACTGCGGGCAGAAGCTGCTCCGGCCACATAAACTCCAATAAATCATACTCATGTTGCCAGGGACAGCGACAAAAGCTGCCTGCTCGGCTCCACGATGCGCAGACCACTAGCCCCGATCACCTGGCAGTTGGCCAAGACCCCAGATGGGTCAGGCCAATTGCGAAGCCATTAAATCGCCAGGGCCAGGGCCAATGCAAGTTGAGTAGTCTCTAGGCTTTAGCGTTGAACGCCGAGAGGTGTCAACTGGAGGTGATCTTAAATTGGATTTTGGCTTTCATTTGATTGCGGAATACTCATTTTATATATTTTATTATATAACGTAGTTATTCCTTGGGTCTTCCTAGGCCATTAAAAGTGTATATGTATGTATATTTTGTTATGTTTTAAGAGTTCAACAACTAGACTTATTACTCGAATCCCCACAGTTTATTTGCAGTTGGGTTTGGGACCTGTTGGCCGACATCAAGGCGTGCATTATGGAAATTAGCATCGGGCTAAGTGACGCCCCATTTGTAGGCACAAATGACCCGACTGCAAGTTCCAATGGGTGCGTGCCGCCATTCCGCCTAATGACCAGCGGGAGCAGCACTTGTGGCCGACATCTAAGACATCACTAAGCACCGAAAGAAGCTCGGGGTGGAGCAGTCGTCCCACAGCCAGGTGAGTTTTACGAGCTCATTGGAACTGCTTCTTTCGCACGGGAAGGGCCGAAACATGTGTGCATATTCCTCAACTCAGTGGGCTTAGTGGCAGGCGGGCCATTAGCCAAAGCGTTCAGCATAATGGCCATATGTTTATGAGGTTCTTGGCAGTCTTTAAAAATTATTCACAATAGGCGTAGATCACTCTTAAGACTAAGCTCGTCTTTGTGGGCGTTCGTTTAGTCAAGTTTTTATACCCTTGCAGAGGTTATTAAAATTTCTGTCAGAAGTTTGCAACGTTGTGAAGGAAACACCTCAGACCCCATAAAGTATATATATTCTTGATTAGCATGACGATCTGAATCAAACTTCAATTTTTATGATACAACCCCTTTTGAAAATTCCAATTTTATCACAAGATAACCATTAAGCTGAATTCTGAGCTGACTATTTATTTATTTACTTAAAGCTCCAGGAAATATAATTATAATACAACTGAAAGTATAAAAACGAATTACCTTGAAATAATAAAATACAACTCACATTTCCTCCTCAGCTCTATTTACTCCAGTAATTAGCTGGGTCTTTCGCTGGCATCCTGGTAGCCAAAGGCAAACAAATTATGAGCCATCGTAAATATTGGCACGCTGTTGGCTTGCCAACAATTGGCATTCGCAATCAGAGCAACTGGCCGGGCGCAGGAGCAACTGCAGCACGCACTCCGATTGCCGGCAAGTGAATGGCAGGCAGCGATGGCCACGACAGGTAGTAGTAGTTACCATTGGGAGCTGGAGACTAAAGTTAGCCAACGTAGGTGGCACACACCGGACACTCGGAATGCCTGGCAGAAATCGAAGGGGGGACACTCACTAACTGGCAAAGTGTCAAACTTGCCAAATTGAAAACGAAGTTACGATGCAATCGCAGATTTGTTTATGCTGCCGTTTTGAACCGAACGCAATTATATATTTATTTGCACTTTTTATTTTCCGCTGTAGTTTAAATTTAATGAAATATTACACGCACGTGTCAGCGATGCGATAAAATTTATTTACGCAGCATTGCGGGTCAAGTGAAAGCACATTTTTCTGCAGGCCTTCGGACCTTCAAATTGAATTTACGCTGGGATTTCGGTCGAGTGGCGAATTAAAAATCGAAACCGAAATCGAAATGTAAACCTGACTTAAAAATGGGCGTAGGGCAGTCGCATTGACACGCGGCCATATTTTAAATGTCAACAGGACAGGGGGAGATCGGATCGGATCGGATCGGTTGGGTTTTGGACGGGATGGGATGGTATGGTCTGGGATCTCGATCCCGATTCCGATTCCGATTCGGCTTCAGCAGCCAAGCAGCCAAGGATGGGGGCAGACCGCCTTGTCCCTGCCCATGCGCATCAGAAATTCAATAAAATACCATTAAATTACAAAATGAAGACAATTCATTTTTCTTGTTTTCCTTATTTTCGATTCCCTTCGATGCGATTGCATTTTGTTTCTTTAAGCAGGAGCATTTACTGTCGCTTTGCGGTTATAAGCAATAAAGTATTAAAATCCTTTTGGCTTATAAACGTTGAAAGCGACATTTATCGTAATATTTTATGAAATCAGTGAATATTCGGTGAACGTTGCAACTTGCATTGCAACTTAGTTGCCCCTCGAAATTGACTTGCTGGGTATTCGGGTTCTATTGTTTCGGCCATAAAATGGATGGAATGATGGATGTTAGCTGCGCTCGATGTTGAATCCGCAATTGAGGCTTAATTTATCTTGATGTACTTGCTGTGCCTCTCAGTGGGTTGACAAGGTCAAAGATTATGGTTTCGATTTGCTGTTGATATATGGGAATTGTTTATGTTCAATGACCTGAATGGGTTTATTATAGAGACATAGGAATTTATGGCGGGGTGTCTTCAGTTTGAAGACTTATAATACAGGTAAAAATTAAACTGTTTTATTATTAGGAATATTATGAATAACATATCTATTCTGTTTATAATTTACAGAGCATCCCGAAGTAATGGCATCGAAATATCCAACCTAGGGATCATAATTCCAGCCATAATCGAGTACCGACGCCGAGGAAAAGGAAAGGAACGGAATCGAGCCAAGAGTAATGGCCAAGGGTTGGCCAGGGCAACGCCCATCACATACTACCGAATCGAATCCGGGGCGATTTTTCTTATTGCCTTCAACTTTGCACTGCCAAAAAAAACGTACCCCGACCCAGAAAAAAAACAGAAGGAAAGAAAACAAGTCTGAAAACGAAAATACTGCGAGGCAGGCGCACTTTCAATTAATCAAGGAAATTAATTAAGGCCCGTGGATGGATGGTGGTGGTGGTGCGATGCGATGGTGCAGTGGTGCAGTGGTGCAGTGGTGCAAAGCTCGGTTCAGTGACCAGCCAGCGGGCAGCACGCTCGCCGATTGCAACATAATTTTCATTTGGCTCAGCATGCGTTTTCATCGTCGCGGTTATCATTTGGACATTTGGACTGGAACACTGGAGTCTGGAGCTGGATTCGGATTCGGATTCGGAGCTCGGATTCAGATTCGAATTGAAGCTTGGGCCGCGGAGCCTGGTCAATTAGCACGCATGTTGCTCGCCAGGCGCTTTCGGGGCGATAATTAAACGCAGGTCGCTGGAGTTCGGTTGCCAATCCGCTGGTGACAATTGGCCACGATTTATGCCCGGCCCGATTGTGCAACATTTACCAAATAAATTTTCGCGCCTAATCGCACTAACCACAAAATGCTGCACGCCGTGCTCGGACGCCTGGGTTAATGGGTAATCGGAGCGGTCCACTAAACCTCGGAATGGTAGTAGCTCAGTATGATCACGATGTCTGCAGCTACATCTGTAAAGAATCAAACGGAGTACAGGAAAGAAAGTAATCGGAAATTAACATTGTTTAAGGGAAACACTCACAGCCAATATTTATGAATGCGTAGGCAACCAACTTGAAGTCAATCTGTTTAAGGGCGGCAATCTGCATGTGACTGATCAATACCAGGATCAGTCCAATGAGACAGGTCACCATGTGCAGGGGCAGCAGATTCGGATTCGCCTGCTCGAATAAAGCAACTATTTAAATATGGTATTTATATAGAAAGGAAATAAATAAATATTATGCTGCTGCAACTAATGTGTTATAAATGTGTAATTCACAATTAATTAATGTTGTTTTTTGGAACTAATAGTTTCTTAATTAATAAAGTTATTATTCTCTTACCCTGTATACTGCAAAAATCAGAATCGTTACGGATATCACATTCCAGACAAGAGCAATAATCCAGATTGTCAAAACATCGCCGCAAAATTTCGGTTTGTTATACAACAGCCATATTGCATCTACTGTATCTACGGTAAGACCTGTATAAGCAATGGTAAGGGCTCCCCTTTTTAAACTAAAAAAGAAGCAGAACTTTTTAAAAAGAGGCATCCTGAAATGGAAAAGAATTTGTTAACGAATTAAACATTTTACTACTTCCCTTACGTTTAACGTCTTACGCTTTCAAGTCTTCTCACTATAATCACATCCAAAACGGCTCAGATCCATTTCTCTTGTAAGGTTTTCAAGTTCCTTACGGTTTTTGACAAGATTTCAAAAGCCTAACCTCCCACTATTTATCAAAAAAAATGTATGAGACACGTTTATGACTCCGAAAGTATTTTTGTGTTTTATGTTTACATGGTTTTGTTTTATGTGTAACAATAAATGACAAATAATCAAAGGCTGGCCTTTTTTTTTTTAAATAAACAAATTACGTTCTATTTAAATATGTATATTTGTTATTATTAAATATTTGTTAATTAAATAACATTATAATACCCAAAAATATATAAGAAATCGCAAATACTTTCGGTAAATATTTGTGTAAAATTTAATAAAACAGCCGAATATTTGTGGATATTTAAAACTTCAATAAAACTTAAACTGAAGTCTCCCCTTCTTTTCCACTCATTTTAACATTTTTGTACCCAGAATAAAGACTATAAATTTGGCTTCCAGTTTGTAGCAAAATTGCCAGTAAAAAAAAGTAAGATGTTGCCAGAAAAACCAAGAGGAAACCAACGCCTTGTGCCCCTCTCCGATGAACTGATGCAGGACATACTGGACCACCCAGATGAGTACCACTTACAACCCCTCGGACAACCTGAGCTGGATTTTGTGGGTGATAGCAGGGAAGCTAGTCGAGCAGCGGCATCCAGTTGCACAAACCTCACTCCCTTGGAGTTAAGACGTCGAACTGGTGGATTTGCCGAGGGTCCCATTGCAGTGGCTCCTAGAAATTCAGTGACATTCCTCTATAGACCCAAACCGAAGTCAACGAATGTGCCAGAAGCCAGAAGTGAAATAAGAATTGTTGAAAAAGAAAAGATTGAAGCTGAGGAAACTACGCCAGTGAGGGATCCCATAATTGAAAGCCTTCTCCAAAGGGTTCGATTATCCTTTGTCGACTCTAATCTTATGATCAAGCAGACGCCCAGCAGAATCCTGGCCAGGCTGCAGGATAGCTTGGACTCCTTGACGGATGACATTTGCTTTCTGCAGACTCTGATACCCCTGCTATTTGAACAGTCTGGCCAACTCAAGTTTCCCGGAGTAGAAACACCTCAATCGACTGTATCGCTGTACTTTAAACGAGTCTCCGCAATAAGATTAACCAGCTCATCCGATGAGGTGTGCAGCTTAGTACAGGATCTACACAGTGGGACTTCGGAAATGGAGCGCAATATTGAAAGGCTATCGAAGATTTGTTTGGGAATGCGGATGAACAGTATGAACGAGCAGAAGATTCCGGGACGAGTTACTCGTAAATCGCCTGTGAAGCTCCGCTTTAAACCGAGCCGTGAATTTGAGTGTTTGCATCCATCTTATGAAGTGGCCAATTCAGAGCAGGATCCACAAAGTGACAGTTCCGAAGAGGAACGCAACATCGAGAAAGAGCTGTACCAAAGAATGCAGATGAACCTGGTCAACATGGTGGCCGTTCCCAAGTCCCAAACTTCGGTGGCTCTCAACAAGCGAAAGGACTTTAACTTCTGTTTGGGAGGATGCCACTGCAGTTGGCGGCATCGGTATACGGATGAGGATTGGAGGCGGGACTACGAGGCGGCTATCTTTCTTCGCAGCTCCGAGAATGTGCGTCGTCAGTGAAAGTGAAAGATCGCTTCATTTGCCTCAAAAAAAAAAAAAAAACGAATCGAGAAATTGTGCCCGTCATGTGGAGAGGGGCGATTGGAGTCTGGAATTTTTTCGGGAAAAGCTTTTAGCTGGGACATCTTGTCTGGAGCTAGGGCTAAAACAAAAGCCGTGTTTTTCCACGGCAGAGTGTTTTTTTGATAGCTATTCAACGAAGTGGTTGCCATGTGTGTGAGCTTTCTTTTGTGACATCTCCCTAAAAGGGTCGCAGTTCTATTCCACGTGGATCTTCGTCAGATTAGTTTTATCAAAGCCAAGTTCCAAAGCAGAAAAAAAAACCACATTTTTATAAAATAATGTTAGATTTGATAAATTTTGGGAATATTTTTAATATTTTGTTTTTATGTGTCCAATGGAGTTTAAATTGAAGGAGAATACCCTGGGAATCCATAGATTTATATATTTTTCTTAGTGTAGACCAAAACTTTTACCCATTTGACAGCAATTTCCCTGACATTGCATGTCGATCAGGCAACAGGCCAAACTCCCGCATCCTTCCCCTGCCAACATTTGCCAATTTCGGCTGGAAAGTAATGATTTTTATTACTGCTGCGGCAGCATTGAAAACTTCCCCATCTGCAGTCACTTCGTCATGTTCGTGGTGCGGCGATAACCGCGGGCTCTTTGCATTTTGGCCAAATATTAGCACACAATTCGATTTTGCATGCCACAACCTCAGCGGAAGGAGGGTTTCTCCGGGGGGGAGGAACCAGTCAATTTCCACGAGTGCAAGTGGCGAGTTTTCCATGACACTCCATGATCTCTCTCCACTGTCCTCCGGCAGCTGTGCGCTTTTCGCTTTCACCTGTTGGCCTGAGTTATGTAAAAATCCACTGTCAAATTAATGGTGATTTATATATGCGGCTTAATGGGCACTTGGCATGGGATGCGGGTACTCCGTTTACGGGGATCATGAGTGTGAATGTGCCGAAGAAAGAGTGGCCTTAAACTCGAACAAAATGCTGTCTATGAATTTTTAAAAGTCATCGATAAAAGAGGTCATTAAAAGTATTCAGTTCATAAAAATACAATTGGTAAGGATAGGTTAAAATTAAATATTTTTCAGGGGAACAAGAATTTTTGAAAAGATTTTAAGCTTTAAATCTGAAAATGTATTAGAGTGTGTCCAACCATTATCCTCACCATCCTGCGCCTGCTCTCAATAATTCCATGTAATGCTATTTCGGAATCGAGCTGAACAACAACCAACAAGTGGTGCCGGTTAATCCGTCGTTTAGTTGGACATCCGCGGAATGTTAAACCCATGCACTTAGCGATAATCCAAGTCGAACAAAATGCTTACAAGTGGTCATGGCTGGGCTGGCAAGGCATGTTGGGGGCAATTACTCGGACCTCGAGTGTCCAGAAGTGACTGATGATGGGACCCAGACATTGTCGCAGGCGTCGCGACAAAATGCCACCGCACTCAAATCCAAGATCCAAGATCGCGAGTGGTGACAATAAAAGTGCAAGGCAATTTGCGAATGCGTCTCTAATTGAGCCCACTGAGGAGACAATTGGTTGATAAACTGCAAAAAGGTTTAAGTGCGGCAAAATGTTAACTTGATTAAAGGTTTTTCGTTTCAATGTTTTGATGGTTTTAACGGATTAAATATGATAGTTATAATATGTAGCTTGATATCTAAAAATCCTTTGACTTCAATTGTAATTCTTTTCGCTGAATAATCCAGAACAATATATAAGAAATTATAATTATAACCGTTTCAAGTCTAATCGATAATTTATATTAGAAAGAAATTTGAACTTAAGTTAGTCTTAGCCAAAAGGGCTTTATCCTAATTATTTTTCAGCTGCCAGATGACAATCGGCTGAGACATTTAAGCTGTAAGTTATTTCTTTAATTTTGCACACATGAGCGGAAAAGCTCGGATAACCCGAGAGACCGGAGAAGGTGGTCCTAGTGCGATTGGAATTTCATTTAGAAAGTTGCACTGGGAAGTCGATGTGGAGGTATGGTTTAATTTGCATTTGCCAACTCTGAGCGACATTTGGCCAAAAGGAGGAGTGTGGCGGGGGGTTTGGATTGGGTCTGGAACTGAAACCGAAGCCCAGACGGGCGACATTCTTCTCCATTCACTTTTCTTGGCCCAAACAAAAACCAGCCGTTTAGCCACAATTGGGTCATTTAATAATGTTGGTTTGGTAATTGTAAGAAGAGCGGGGTAGACTCCTCCGCACCGCTCACGATTTCCTATTCTAATTCTGTCAATCATCCGCTGCAACTGTTTTTTCCCCGAGTCGATCTTGTGGTCTATTTGATCTTGATTTTGATCTTTAACTTGTCTTGACGCACATTTGATTTGGCCACACCCACCCGTCGCGTCTCCCCCCATTTTCTCCGCCTTTTCTTTTCTTTCCAGCGAAATGCTTTCTACTCCGCACTGATTGTCTTTGTCTCGGCTGAAACGCTTGGCTTTAATGGCTTTTGATTGATTATCGCGTGCCATGGGTGCTCCACAGTACTTCGATCTCTGTGGGTGCTCTGCACTCCCTCTCCAACTCCATCGCCATCTCCTCCTCCATCTCCATCTCGAGATCAAACTCCGGATTCAGCTCCAGGTGGTGGTGTCGCTTGGCCCACGATCGAATCTCTTCTTTTGTTGGCTTTCATTTGAAGTCTGCTTAATTAGCCCGATATGTGTGTCTGCCTTGTTGACTCCCTGCACGTGCTGCGATCTCCTCCACCCATATACAAATATAATGTGATGTCAGTTCCTGGTACAAAGACCACTTGGGCAGCCATGAGTGGGCGCATCGAATCGATTGTAGAAGTTCAAAGTTGAAACTTGTTGTACAAGGTGGAGCAGATGGGGTAGCTACGTGATTCATCAGCCATGGCTGCTGGAAGGGAAATTGCTTTCGAGGAAGTGCTTGATTGATGCAAGAATGTTCTTAGCCTCTCTCTTACCCTAAGTAATTATTTTTAAAGTAACAAACCTAATTTGTAAGTTAATAATCTAACAAAAAAAGCATTTATATTATTGAAGGAAGAATTTTAAACTTCAGTTAACAAAAGTCATTTTTGTTTAAATTAATTGAATTGAATTTTACGGAACAAACTTCCCCCTTTAAAAATAACCTTTTCTTCTCCCAAACCAAACAAATCTTATAAATTTAAAAAGAAAATCTGCACAGCAAATGGTTAACGACTAACGATTACTATAAACCGAATTAATTTCCTATTAAAACCATAGATAATCTGGCTGCATTATTACCTTTTCAGGCTCAACTTTCCACTCATTATGAATGTAAACTGACAATATTGGCCCGCAGTTCATCGATGCATCTCAATCGCGGCCATCAAATGCCACTGACTTTCCCGACTTGCCATCTCATCACAATAATGTCCTAGTCGGTAAAATCAAATCACAGCGAATGTGCTGTCAAAATGTTATTCAACCGAAGAGTTCGGGGGCGGTGGAGATATATTTCGGGGTTATCCAACTACCGACTACATATGTCAACACCATGAACTTGAAACCCACTGAAGACCCACTGGGTTTGGACCTGAAGCCAAGGAGCAGGAGCTGGAAGCCAAGTTGCAGCAGTTGCCTCTAAAAGCATTTTGTATTCTAATTAGATTGTCAGCGGCACGACAACAACCTCATTTTGGCTCACAAAATGCCTTTTCACATTTGCATTAGCGCCAACGTGAGGAGAGAAGACAAAAATCTACATAAACTTTGGACAGTTGGTCGGGAGTGCACTGAAAAAAAAGAATTTAATCTGCAATGCAATTAAATGCAAAATGTAGATAAATATTGAATTATACATAAAGCTCTTTTTTGTGGTCAATTTTAATTTAGTACATTTTATATAATAATTCTTTCAGAGTAACTATTTAGACTTTTCTTTTTTGAAATACCTATTTGCCTTGTTAAAATTTAAAAGTATTACTTACAGTTTACAATTTTTTTGGCTTAGTGCTTTGGAGTAGGAGTTTGCGGTTTGAAGTTCATTAACATGCACAGGTTAATTACCGTTGTTGTTGGCCGCTCAAGGAAATGAGCCATTAGAGGAGGGGATTTCAAGAGACTGGAGGCTGGAGCGCCGCGGTAGCCGAAAGCCGGCGATAAAACTGGCTAAAAGCATACATAAAAAGACACATGTTAAGTGTGTGAGTGTGTGTGTGTGTGTGTTTGTTACCTGATTTTGCAACGGGGGAAGGACTGTGACAAATGCTTAAGTTCGAGGAGGAGGACGTGCCTGCGGCCACTGCGCTTTTCTGGCCAACATGCAAAATGTTGCACTGATAAGAGGCACAAAGCCAAGGAGTCATCCCGTTTGCCTCCGGCTGCAGTTTGGCCAACAGCAGCGGTAAATGAGCATCCCGGGCACGATCATTAAAACAAAAGCGGCAGCCGAGAAGCCATCACTGACAAGCCATGACCAAGAGCAATGGCCAACGAAAAAGAAGGGGTGGGCTTCAGGGGGTTTTCGACTTAGAGGTACCTGGTAACCAAAACTCTTAAAGCTAGAAGAAAAATCTATGCAAAAGTAATTTTTAATTGTAAAAATATTACTATATTACCCATCAACAAAAATTGAAATACCAAAAATCTAATGATTCTTATGAACTGAGTTCTTTGATCTTTTACAAATTTATTTTGCACCTTAGTTGGAAGGTTTCAAATATCCAGAAGCTGATGATAGGTATTTTACGATATGTATCTTAAGTTCTCAACACTTTTTAAGTGTTTTAAATACCATATACCTTTTTTTCTCCCTACTAAAGGGTATCCTAAATAAATACAACAGTAAAGCAACAGGCAGCTACCAGGTTTGTGCCTTCTGGTGTTGGATTGCCTTAAACGATCCGCGTGAATAACTAATTTCAATGGAGTCTGTGCCAGTGCCGCTGCCGCTTGCTTCTCAACATTTATCACCCACCATCGGCGCAGGGGCTCCTAGACTTGGAACCAGAAGCTATAGCTTGGCTGCAGGAGCCCTAATCCCACAAGACAATGGGACAGTTCATTTATTTTTTTCGCTCCTCGAGCGCTTTTTGTCCGCCTGCCCGCACAGACAATAAAAAGTTAGTGCCGGACTGCGTAGGACATGCTAAAAACGCATCCAGCCAGGGGATCGGTCTTAATGAGTTCAATGGGACTGGGCAAAAAGAAGGAGCTGCCCGCGAAGTGTGGTCAAGATAAGTTTCCTGAAAACACAGATTTAGGTGAGGAACAAGTGGCCAGGGTTTTTATGTAAAAGCGCGACAATATACAGAATTTGTAAGAGCTGGTTGTTAATCAGATTCTGATGGTAAGATTAATGAAGTTTTTCAAGGGCTAATTTGGTTTTTTTAGAAATAGAAACAAAGGTGCGGTATGTTTCAAGTATTTTAATAAATATTTATTTTTAATTTCGAATTTAACACTCTATTCTTGCTTAAATGTATTCAATGTTACATGTAATAAAAAAATCAATACAAACCAATAAGTACTCCGAATTCATTAACTGTTTTTAGTACATTATTAATTCTTGGTGTATTTTGTATTTTACAGATCCAAAGAAGTAGGTCTGGTGAAGTATATAGTGCTCTTTTTGTCCGCCGTGAGGGCCACCAAAATGTTTTCCACCTCACACTCCGAATTATAGAGGTAAGCCTCGGTAAACTTAGTGTTTGCATGACCATGCAGAGTATACTGATGAGGAGCCTGATTGACGGTGACAAGTTCAAAGGCTTCGCTGCATCTATCCTTATCCCGATAGTTCTCATTGTAGTAACCGAAGGGTATAAGGTTGGTCAGCTCTTTATGAGGTGTGGTGATTTCTCCAATTAGATGACGGGTCACCTGGTCACTGGTTACACTATCCAGATTCTCCTGGGGCTCAGAAATATAACCCCTGAACTTAGAACCCTCGATCTGCACATCCAGGAAGTATATGGCATTGCTGATCAGCGGAAAAGTACCATTGAAGCACTTGTAGCCGATGCCCTCGCCTCCAAAGGTGCTGCACTCGAAATTATCACCTGGAACCGCACCCGAGGCATCCCAAACGGAAAACAGAACCGTGTACTTGGAGCTCTTTTCGTAGTTCTGCAGTCCAATATATCCACTCGATTCCGAGGTGTAGAACTGGAGGAAGTTATAGACGCCATCGTTGCGAGGATTCGGGCTGGTCATCCACTGGAAAATACTGCGAACTCCAATGAATCCATGGTCCTGATACTGAATTATGGTCCTGGCGTTTCCCAAAACATCGTTGAATCGAGGAGAGTCGGCACCCAACTGCTCCTGGCGGAGAGTACTCATGAACTTGGACATGTTCTCCTCCGCCTCCTGACGAGTTGGATGTTGAGCGAAAACTTCAGTCAGGCAGAAGGCCAAAACCACTAGGAAAACTAGCGAAAACTTCGTAAATGCGACCATTGTAAACTTTGATTGAATTGTGACTATTGGACGGTGGATCAGTTTACTTTATATATGGGAAGCCACAATTGTTTACTTTTAGAATCATAGCTAGTAATTCCTATTACGCCAGCCTCTTCGACCGATAAGAACCCACTTACTTAACTAAACTTTTAGAAAAAGCTTATCATTAAAGATAAGAAACTAATAAAGTCAGCAGAGAGTCAATATAATAGTTATAAATGCGCCACTTAAAGGCATTACAACTCACACTCGAATTGTTATTGACCCACAAACTGCTGGACTGAAAAAATTCCACTCGGATCAAGGTCCGTAACCCGAAGTCAAGAGCAAAGCCGCAGAGTTCAAGTCATAACTCAGCGATCCACTGCGTTCACATCCACATCCCGATCGCCAGGCCGATCCTCATTCTCATCCTCGGCATCAGTAGTCAGAGAACGTAGCACTAAATCAAGCCCACATGGAGTTCAGGCCATGCGACCAGCATCAGTAGTTCCCTCGCTTTTTTGACAGTTTTGCGCACAGTAGCAGTTGCAGTTGCAGTGTTGCAGTTGCAGAGTTGCAGTTGAAGTGGAAGTGCCAGTCCCTAGACCAAAGAACAGTAGCAGAGTGCAACTGCACTGGGAAAACAAAACGTAAGGTAAGGGTAATCAATAAAAAATTTAAGCTATTTTATTTTAACAACATCGGTAAGCACACCTGTATGTGTATTTTGTGAGAACAAAAATTATTTATGAGTAAAAGAAAATGTTTTATAGCATTAAAATAGTAAAACGTTAACTTTTAAAGTATCGCGTTGAATTTTCAAATATTTCTTTAACAATTATTTAACTCCAAATAAAGATATACTATATTAAACAAGTTTGAAGATTCACAAATCAATGAATCTTAAACCAAAATAATTATAATGAATTAAGTCGCAAAACGTACCACTCATGCATTTAACCCATTTATTTATCTTTTTTTAAGCAAGTTAATCCTATTATAAGGCTTTTAAAAAATGTTAAGCCAAAATGGTGAGGTTTTGGGTTCCTAAGCTCTTTGTTTTTTTGGCGCAGCGCAGCAAGTATAGTCGTAGTCTTCCGCCGCCGTCATCATCATGTTGACTGTGGCATGATAAACGCAAGCTGGGCCTAAAAAAGGCGCAGGCCGAACATGTGTTGCCTGTCGAAGATTCAGGCGGAACGCGACCCACAGCTTTTGGCCTGGTCTACGAGAGCCTGAATGGCAGCACTTTTTTTGTTTTGTTTTTTTTTTTTTTGTTTTGTTTTGTTTTCGTTGGCTTCCCTGGAACTGGCACAACCTTTCGGTGGCTCACATAAATTTTAAATATTCGCTAGAGATGCGCCGGCGAACGGCTGCGGCTTCCTTATTTGGCAACGGCCAATGCAGTTTTTAACCATTTTTATTGACCCGAGGGAGGCGAGCGAACAGGCGGTGGCTCATTAGTGGATTTGGGGGCGCATCGGGGCGTATGAGTAATGCCCCGCAATTTGCACGCCTTGAAAGGATTAATTCGTTAACAATTTTTCGCCGCTGTAATATGCAAGACAAAACCAATAAATCTATTAATTAAGCCGACATTTGTTTAGCATCTGTTGCGATTTCCTTTTTACTCGGCACAATTTGATAAATATGCCCAGTTCAAGTCGAGAGTCTGGTCTCGGTTTCCGAGTGGATTTGCTGAAATTTAAGACAGTGGGTGGTCCGGATTGGAAACGGTTTTTTGGCTGAATGAATCAACTGTCGGTGCAGTGGTGCGATTTCATTATGAAGCTATGTGGTTGTCTCTAGCAACTACTATAATAAAATATTTTTTTAAAAGTATTAAAAATTTAGATACATTTTTGATTAATCGTATACAATTATAAACAAATTCTCTCGTTCAATGTATGCAATTCGGTAAATAGATAAGTATTTGTTAACATTTTTTTTTTCAAAGAGCTCCTTAAGTTCTTAAAGACCTATTAATTTCTTAAGACACCACATAACTTTTATTTCTTTGCTACATTTTTATTAGAATTATTATTCTCTAGTAGATATTACCACTGTGCTAGGCACAATAAACCAATTGCCGACAAGTAACAAGCAACTTCTGTGGCCGCTTGGTGTGTATAAATTTGCCAAATTAAAAAGCGACAGCGACGGCGGGCCCAAGAAGGTTTATTTTTCTGTTTTTTTTTTTTTTTTGCAGTTGCTCAGGGGGCAGCTGGGTGGTGGTTTTGAGATCGAGAGTTGTGAGCCGAGAGCCACCCACCGCCGCCTCCAGATGACGCAACAGGGAGCCCGTCGCAGGCGTCTATAAATAAACCGACCGCCAGAGTAAATCAAAACAAGGCACGAACATGTGGCGCTTGCAGTTTTCCAGCCAGGATCAAGTGGGCCGACTGGGATTGGGATCGGGGATCTGTGATCTGGGGTCTCGGGTGTGGTCGCCACTGTGATATGTGCCCAGAATCCGATCGGATCGGATTGGGTCGGATTTGGTGGATTTGTCATCCCCATCTGGGCACATAAATTCGTTACGCATTTTCTTGGCCAGCCAAGGCAGCCAGCCAGCCAGAAAGCCAGCCGCACAGACAATGCGGCCATAATGTTTCCCGATCCGGCTTTTGATCTGGCCCGTTGTCAACATCTTATTCCCGTCCTGACATGATTGATTTTTCATGTTCCCGGCAAAGTGGAAGCCTCTCTGGGGTCAGTTGGGGACTTTCTAAAAAAATATTTTACTCAAGTAACCGCACACTCATCGTCATTGAAATGTGCACTGTAAAAATGTACAATTTAAAACTACTAAAAGCTCTTCTTTTGCAAAATTGTACAAAAAAAAAAACAAAGCTAGACTAAAGTATCATATACTGTCAATCAATTAAGATCTTGTCAATTAATTTCAGTTATTAAATACGTCAAATTCTTTTCAAAGTTTAAACATTTTCCATTGACATTCGTTGCATTTTGCTGTGTACGAAAAATGCCAAACATTTTTAGTGAAAACTGATGCCAACAGAGGTAGAAACTTAGACGGCCTGCCCAGCTTTTTGATAAAGGATTTGAGCCATATTTGGTAATAAAATCCATATCCATTCACACCTCCCACACCGGGGCAGTAACCATTACATCAACATCAAATTCTGGTGGCAGCAAAAGAGCCTTAAAACGTTTGTAATTGAAATTTATTGGGCCGCAAGTGTTGCACAAATTATTTTGTTTGATATGGCCGAGGGATTGATCCGAGATTGGAGATCCAAGAGTGTTTTGCCGCCGGGGCCCAAGAATCGTCGCTTAGTGGAGCAATCAATCGACTATATATGGCCGGGAACTGGGGAAAACACTTAGCCAAGACGATTTCATTTGGCTTTATGGCCGACCAAAATCGGCCATGTGAGAAAATGGTGCGGAAAAGCGGAAAACTGAGGCAGCTGAGGAAGAATTGGGCTGGGAAAAAGTTATTAATATGGGTCGATTGCCCCGGGGCACCCAGCTTCAGTTTCTTCTAGCCGCGGAGTTGGCTTCCAATTTTGGTAGCTTGATTTGTCACGATGCTTTTTTTCTGGTTTCCTTGCGGTTTGCCTCTTTTTTTTTTCGTTTTTTTGTGGCAACCGGGAGAAGACAAACAAATTGGTCTGTAGTTGAAAATTGACAAGAATTTCGTGACTTTGTCACCTCTTTTTTCCCTTTTTTTTGCGAGTCTTTTTTTCAGCAACCGTCGAGGAGATCTTACAACGCCCTCGAAGGCAGCAGGAGCTTTCTTTCCTTGTGGCCTCCGCTCGTTAAGTGGCAGGCAGCGCGTGCGCATTAAAGTCGCTCCACCGGCCTCAAGTTGCACTCCCCCTTGGACCCCCGGAAACCCCCCTTCGAACGGAGCCAGCGCCCCCGCCCCTGGAAATCACTTCATCATCGGACATCGGGCCATTCTAAAGTCAAAGCTGCGACTGAAAAACTTTTGTCAGATTTATTTCTCGGTTTCCTTGGTGTTTTTTTTTTTTTTGTTTAACTTGCTGCTGCTGGTAGTATTGCTTTTTCGGCCAAGTTGTATAGTCTACACTATTTCTTACTCTTAAGTGACCAAGGGTCCATGATAATATTGGTACAAACAAATATAACAAATGTTTAGCTATTTCCCATCATATTTTCAAAATTTTGTATAAGTATACAATACTTTTTTTACAGAACCAAATGGATTTAAAATACATATACAATTTTGTTAGCACTTTTCGACCTCTATTAGAAGTCGTAAAATTTCGAATTAAAATTAAAGTTCTCTCTCCCAAAATTTAGTAATTTTTCCGGAAAGAGCATGAAAAGTTCTCCCAAGCAATGCAATAAGTTAACTTGCTTCATTTGGTTTATTGTGATTTTTATTTCTTATCCCTTTCTTCGGTTCGTTTGTTTTTTATGTGCTGGCACTACCTGTAACCTTTTGCACTTGGTACCCTTTTTTCAATTTAATGAATTTTTTCCGTCGTTTTCTTTTTCTGCACCCGGTGACAGCTACAAGAGGCCAGTGAATTCGGGCGGGCAGGAGATACTTTGGGGACAACTGCAGATGCATGTCGCCTTCGGAGCCTCGGGTTTCCTTTATTTCTTTTTTTTTTGGGTGTTATCAATCGAGCATCGAGGGGGGATTGTGGAAGGGGTAGGGGTTCCATGACCAGGTCCCAAAATTCAACAACTCCGGCAACGCCCTGAATACTCGCATCCATCCGGAATATGCATTTGTTCTGTCCTTCAACGGCGGCCCATTCAATTGTTGTGTTTATGGTCAAGTTTATAACATTTTGGCAAGACTGCCAAATTGAGAAGAAGAGAACCAAATGCAAAGTTCGTGTCTGCTTGCCCAGTGACACCACCTTCAACAATGCGAATATAGAGGACAATTTTTCAGCTACTTTTGGCACTTGAAAAAACTTTTTATTTATAAATAACAATTAGATAAAACTTTGTTAATGATCTCTTCTGTTTCCAACAATATAAATGTTTCTTAATAATATTTATAATTATAGTTTAAATTGCTTAAATAAATATTATATTTATCCACGGTTTTAAAAGCAAACCCTTCAGGTACTTTGAGGGATGCTAAAATTGTAATTCTTCAATTAATACATGTACAGCAGTATTTTATTTTATTTTTTTGCAGTGTGTCTGCTTTTCTTTTATCCAAGTAGGCCAAAACCGCACCGCTTTCCACCCACCACGGGCGATATGAGTTGACATTAGGGAGAACATGGCCAAGAGGAGCAACAACTGGCGACTCGCATCCCATGGACCCATCGACATCGTCGCCATCGCCCTAGACTGACCTCGTTGTACCTGGTTGCTTATTGTGGTTGTTGGCTTGTTGCACTTTTTTTTGTTTTCTGCCGGCCAATTTGCTGCAATTGCATTTCCCAGTTGGAAACTACAACGCCAACTCCGACTCCAAGTGTGCCACTTTGCCCGCCGAGAGATCATGTCGAGGCCAAAGGCAAAGTGGGTGAAAACCCAGTAAAATGGCAAAAATAAGTCAATATTTGTGTTCGAAAATATGATCGAATTGGGTCACGTGATGCAATCTAGTGGGTTGCTACGTGGTTCGACTAATGGTTTTGGCCAGGTGGGTCATACGTGATGCGGCGTCTTTGGGAGAAACTATTTTCGCTGGTCATTTGGGGCGTTTTCTTATATTTATTAAGAAATCTACTGGGACATTATAGCTTTTGTTTTTTGCAATAAAAAGTTTTATTTTTCGTATGCTTGTTAATTTGTTTGCCAAACAAATCAATACAATCTATAAAAATATCTTCTAAAATCACTTTCATCTGGATTTAATGTAAAACAAACTGATCCTTTTATATTTCCCAAAATAAATATTAATCCATTTAAGTATACATTTTTTTAGTCGCAGTTCAAGTCTCACTAACCCGAGTTCATTTAAAATTCTTGAAAAATTGTGCCAGCCATTAACATCTTTTGCAGATTTCATATCTCGCACGCGTCTCCCTGCTCCACCTGGCCCAATATTATTTTCTTGCCACTCCGCCTTTGAGCAAACAACGATCAATAAGGCAGCGGCCACGCCCCACTTTACGGATCGCATACGTATATGAATATGTGTCTGCCACAAATTTGCCCCTGCCAATAATTCAATTAGGGAGCAAGAGGGGCCAGCAGGCTGGCCATTCGAGCATTCGGGCATTCGGGCAGCGAAACATTTATTTCACAATTGGCTGACATTAATCAATGGGGCATGATCTCTCGGGGAGGTGGAGTTAAGTGCCACAACAAGTACCTAGTACCTCCTGAGCTGAGCTGAGGAGCTAAGGAGCTCCTCCGGGTGGCTGCAATTAAAACTAGATTAATAATTCGCCTCCTTCTTCGGTTCGCCGGTGCAGCTCAGGTGTAGACAACGTTGTCGATGTCGTTGTCATCCTCACTTTCCTAGACTTCCATGGGCTTTTCAAGAAGAAGGCTCGCCGGCTCGGATTACCCACACGGGTAATGTGGGGGACGGGACTAGCCCACTTTAATTGCACATTTCATACTTGTTAATTTTTCAATTTTCCTGCCCACCGACTGCGACGTTGAGCGGTTGACCACTTGCCAAATGTCGAATGCTGCTCGCTGGATGCTGAATGTTGAATGTTCAATGCTGAATGCTGGATGCCGAATGCGAATGTTGAATGTTGAATGTTGAATGTCCGGTGCCGAATGCTGGATGCTGAACGTTCGTTTGTCATCGAGCCGGGGAGACTCAGTGCACAGTGCTCAGTGCTCAAGACTCAAGACTGGAGACCCGATGGACTCCTTGGACCACACAGACGCCGCTTCAACTGGGCAAAAGTGCACCAAAGAAAAATTCCCAAGGGAACTTATGTAAGTAAAGTAAGTAAGTAAGTAAAATCACTTAATATATTATTTTAAATATTTTAAATATTTTAAAAACTATAATTAATTATAAATACATATTATAATTATACTTAACAGATCAAAATATATTCCTTCACCTCATTAGTAGTAAAATCTATTTTTGGCTTAGTAATATTCTTAGTATAAAAAAAATGTTAATACGGACTGCAACAATAATTGAGATTTTTCAAAATACCTATTTTGTACTTTTATAATTTATTATAAATATTTTTTTTTAGATTAGAATGATAACTTATATTATAAATCTACCCTTTTAGAACGATATGGTTATCAATTAATAGAGTTTACATTTTTCTAATTACAGTTGGATAATAAATTACTATTATTAAAATCCACATAAATTCCCCCCCCTTTAAATTACATATTACATATTACATATTTGTGAGTATAGTTTTTTCACAGTGCATTTGCTCCCGTGGCGGCTGCTGCTCCCAATCGATACAGGTGGACATGCGACTGACCCACCTCGACGCTCAGCGGGCGGTGCAGCTGCTGCAACTGTGGGGGCGCCAGTCCTAGCCCCACCCACTTAACCCCCTACCCCTCACCCCCTCCCCCTTTTGCGAAACGCTTTTCACTGCATTTGGACGAAATTAATTGCCAGCGATTAAATTTCAAATTTTCCATGCAAGCCCAAAGCAACTCGAAGCCAGCAAATCGCATTCGCTTCCGTGCGGCGACTTTTGCGTGAGCCAAACTCCACTTGCCCTCCCTTCGTTGCAAAAGTTATAAAGTGAAAATCATTAGTTTTCATTTGTGGCGTTTAGGGCGTGTGCCACGGCCTGTGGATCTGGATCGGGATCGTGCAGCTATTTTGCATTGCAAATTAACAAAAATAAAGCACACACACTAAAAGTGCAATTTTCACTTGCGCGACCGTAACATTTTCCCGAGCATCGTTTTGGCAGTTGCATGTCAACTCCGTTGGTCATATCCTGTGGAGCTCAGATCGCTGCTGGGAAAAACGGGAGGCGGACTTCGGGGCGGAGTCGGGTCGGCGGTAATTAAAGCCAAGTCGAGAGGTTCCCCTGACAGATTCCGACGTGGGCGTTGTGGATTCGAGAGGTTCGACTGCCCGAATTGGCGAGGGAAAAAGCAATAGAAAGGTAGCAATGGGGCTGGAAAATGCACAAGTAATGCCATTCACATAAAGAATTGTTTATAGCTTTGTTTTTAGCACGACATTTGAATAAAAGCAAGGCAATAATTAATAGAGTTTGTTGTTATCATAAATAAGCAATTATCATATTAAATAACAATAAAAAAGTGCTTAAGTCAATTAAATCACCTGTTAAATGGCAGATAACAATTAATATCTTAAGAAGCGTTAACTGCCATTTATCCAATAAAATACTTTTGTTGAAGAACTTTCACTGCAAACGGCTAGACAGCTAATAATTTCAAAGTACCCTTGTCAAATAAAAATTATTAACGCAAATCAACAGATTTAGATAATATTCAGAGCACTAAACTTCAGTGCCAAGAGTAAATTATAGACTATATATTTCATCTTTGGATCCCTAACAATTACCGCCCTAATTGCGGGCTGCGTTTTTTCACGGATCGTCCTTGAGTTTCGATCCGGTCCACCCCCTTATGGATAAACGGCTTCCATTCTTTTGCCTGAGCAAAATTGAGTGGCCCAACATCGTGTTTGGGATTAGTCGCGTCAATAGTGCCATAAACATAAATCTGCCGGTTAATGGGCAGGAAGGTGGACCTAGACAACGTGGCTACCAGTTAGTTGGCTGTGCTCGCAGCCCCGGCAATTACGCAGCAAATTAAAATCAAATAACTTAGCATGAAAATCGAGCAAGCCATAAAAATCACATGCAAATTATAGAGTATCCAATAACCCGACCGGCAAGTGGCGGCAGTGGTAGCCCCAGCAGCTCCTTCGTCTCCGTCGTCTGAGAAATTGTTGTAATTTGCGCCATGGAGAGACCTGTCCCAGCATCGCTTTTAGCCAGCGGCGCTCCAATAAAGCCTTAAACAAATGAAGTTATTTGAGCCAATAAAAAATGGCAGACGCAAAATGATGGCGAGCCATCCCCACGAGTATGTCAAGCGGAAAGGGAAAGTTGATCAGATTGGAAAAGGAGGATATTTAAGATTCAGGTGCGGTCCGAGAGTTTAAAATATTAAATTGTTCTTAGGTGAAAAAAATTATTGAATAGTTATTTCATTTGAGTTTTAATGACTTAGTACATAATAAGTATTAAAAGTGATTTATTTTAATATTTCGAAACTACATTCTTCTCTTTTTGAGCCTTTTAACCTCTAGTTAGGTTCATTAACCCGAAATTCGTTAGCACTGAACATTTATGTAGTCAGCAAACCGCACCTGTTAGCAATCACATTCGATGCACAATCACCGTATTGAGGCTCTTGCAACTCCTTCAACAAGTGCCATAAATATTGAACAACCAGCAAGTTGTTCCCGGATACCCCAGTGTTCTGGGATCCTTAAGGGTTCGGGATCGGGCTCAAAATCTGGTTCTGGGACGGCCCTTTCTTAATGCACACCTTGGCGGTGCTGCAACTCAGAGGCAATTTGTTATTTGCCGCGGTAATTATATGGCATCTTCTCGTTGCCGTTTGGCTTATTTAGAGCTTTATTTATTAAAGCATTTAATGTAAAATTGTTTGTCCAGGGGCCAGGGGCCAGGGGCCATCATTAAACAAAGTAAATTGTGTGTATAAATCAATACCGGTCTGCGGCTAATTAATATCAATGTTGATTTTGTTGACTCACAAAAAATAAACCCCTGCAACACCCACGAAGATGGCCCTTGTGAAATTGCTTTTCTCGATCCCTCAACTTGCATATTTTATGCGCATAAAGTGGATCATAAAGTAATTAATGCACTAAAATGCGACATCAAAATGCTTCGGGCAGAGGCAACCGAAAGAAATTTCTTTCAGCATTTCGTTGCAGCTTCGTGGGATGGCTGCACCACCAGTAATACACTTTAAACAAATCTGATACTGATGTTTTATTGTGTTTAAAAATTAAAAAGCATATAGCCAAAAAAATTAAACTAACCAACAACATTGAGTAATTGCCTTAAGTTTCATTAAACCATCAGATCCTCTCTGTTAAAAATAAATAAATATTATAAATTAGATTCTGTTCAGGTAAAAATATATTAAATATTTTTCTTTCACTGTTTTGGCCAAGGAAACAACAAAGCGTCTGCAATCAATCTTAAGGCGGCGTTTTGCTGGGCGTGTTCTCTTTGCTCTGAGGTTGCACCTACGCTGGTTGCTGCAGTTGGGTGCAGCTTTCAGTCCGGGATTAAGACCCTTTGCCACATTTCAGGATCCCCATCTTCTCCACATAATTACAGAGTGTTTTCTTCTTTTTTCGGTATATATTTTTTAGCATGCGTAAAGATTCTGAAACGGGAACTCTGCGGCTGGGCTTTCTTTTTACCTTTTTGGCCCGGCTGACAGCGACTGACAGACAGCAATTGCCAAATAATAAATAATTAGTCGGGGCGGCGCAGATGGGCGTGGCTAAGTGACATGGCATGCATTTTTCATGGCGTTAAATCAAATATCGGCTGGCCAAAAAACTCCGCCAGCTAGAGAAAGCGGGTGCGACCCAAATTTCCGAAAATCTGTAATTAATAATTCCACAGAAAAAATGTTAATTAAGATATTAAGGCTGCTGAGTTAACTTAGTTTATTAGTATTACTGTCAGGTTTCGCGTGTGGAAACATCAGGTTTTTGCAATACAGCGTAAAATTAGCATAATATAAAAAGTTCATTTAATTAGTTAAATAAGTTTTATATTTTTTAACAAATAAAATACCAAATACCGATTTAACATCAAACTAACAGACGTTTAACACCGCTGTTAATCAAAACAGCTGAGAGCACCTGTTTGCGCGGGAGAAAAAGCGAATGAGCTTGTGAAAAGCAAAAGCTGATAACAAAAACCACTTGTTGAAAGAAAATTAAAGCTTTCGATCAGTTTACTTTTAGCTGCTGCACTTGGCTTTACTCTTCGTTACTATATAGTATCCAAGATCAAAATGTCAACGATTGTGAGGAAACTTATCAGCACCGTAAATGCTGCCAAGCCAGTGGCTCCTTATAAGTAAGTACAAGTATATAACTTAAGTCATAAACACACCTTCTACTTAATTGTTGTTTACATTATATAGTCAAGCTGTGGTCGCCGATCGGACGGTGTATGTGTCTGGATGTCTGGGACTCGACAAGGACACCATGCAGTTGGTTCCTGGAGGACCAACTGAGCAAACAGAAAAGGCTCTGGAAAATCTGAAGGCAATCCTCACTGCCGCCGATTCTGGTGTAGATAAAGTGATTAAGAACACGGTCTTCTTGAAGGATCTTAACGATTTTGGAGCTGTCAATGAGGTCTACAAGAAGGGTAAGTACTATATCCAAAAAAAGATTTTTGTTTTTAAAGTATTTATAGCAATTTATAATAAACCTTATATAGCAATACCTACTGTATACCGCCCTTTTGATCGCCGTCACTTGATAAGCCAATCGGCATCGTTAGCGCCTTATCACTCCATTTATTGTTTACTGTAAACATTTTATGACAGAGCCATACTGTAGTTGTTGTTTTCCAAAAAAATTATATGCTTTATGTTTGCTTATCTGCCGTTCCAGTGTTCAATAAGGACTTCCCGGCCCGCAGTTGTTTCCAAGTGGCCAAGTTACCTATGGACGCTCTGGTGGAGATTGAGTGCATCGCTTTGACCGGATCTGTTGAAACTAAAACAGTGCAATAGCAACTAACACCCAGTAAGCTGTGAGAAAATATAAGCCTCTTAAAAAATGGATTACTTTCTCAAATATTTCTTAATTATATAATAATAATTAAATAAATGGGTTAAAGACTATTGGGTTATAAACAGTAAAAGTGCTGGAAAACATAGTAAAAACAACACTGTTTGCCGAATGAAGCCATAAAAGCCAAGCAACATTTGTTGCCCGGCGTTATGTAAACATGCAGCGGCCAACCAGCAACCAGCAACTAGCAACATGCAACGTGCAACAGGCAACGGACAACACACTTTGCATTTAAACCTTATATAGTTTACAATTTAGCGTGCGGCAATTTATCTTTGTTGTTGCTGCGGCTGCTGTGCGCCTTTTGTATTATATTTCATCAAATGTTGCTGCATAAATCACTGGCAACAGCAACTGCAGCAGCGGCAGCAGCAGCAACAACAGCAACAGTTGCAAGAGCAGCATGTTGCTAACGGTAGCCCGCTTAGACAAAGCGTTTATTTCACATTCAAATTTAAAAGTTATTCATAATGCCGACGTGGAGTTGTTGTTGCTACAGAGAAGGAAATAAAATTGATTAAGAAAAGTGAATATAAAAATATCATATATTTTTAAAGAATTATAGGATTTGATTGGCATTTGTAAGGAACCAAAATACAATCGAATCTCGATGGTGTTTTAGAAAATACTCTACCTATATTTGTTTCAGTGTATGCTCCATATTGATGCGGCTTACCTTTCAGGCTCTTTTCGCCTTTTACGGACCCCGACTCCCGGACTCGTGTTTTGTCTAGCATTTGTTTTGATTTTTATTTAAATTTCAGTGAATTTGTCTGCACTCGACTGCCTTTTGGATGATTTATTGTCCTTGTTGCGGAGAGTGCCTGGTGTGAATATGAGTGGTTGCAATGCAGCACGATTATGTGGTGGTTATATGGTCGCGACTATTTCCACAATTGCCGGCTAACCATTCATTTTTGTAGCAACTTTGTGATATTGTTGCACCCGCAGCGTGCAACATTCATGTTGATGTGCCCGTCGTGTAATTAATTCGCGGCGCATCAGCCGACAGTCGTGCATAAATGGTAATAAATACGCCTGAATTGACGACAACGGACGAACACCTACGCAGAAGGGAACTTGAAGTGCGACTAATTAATTTCGACGCACGACAAATGAAGCCGAAAAGGGATCCGATCCTCCGGAGCGGTGAAAGTGCGCATAATTTACACGCACGGGCCTGTGTCCAAATTAAACTCACAATTCTCTTGTACATTTTTACCAATTTGCTTATCAGCCAAGCCATTGGGCCGGGTCGCGTCTCGTTGGCCAATTAAGAAAGCCGCATGCGGTAGCCAACGCTGGATATCCGTTTACATCTGTTTTTCGGCCAGTTGCAAGTTGTCATAATTAAAATATTATCCGGCTTGCGAGACCTTGCCGCAGGGTAATTAGTTGTTAAACTGAGCTTTCACTTGCTGACACTAAAAAGCGGGGATATACAAAATGTGACGAGATTTCAAGCCAGGATTTCAACAAATGAAAATTTGTACAAATAATGTAATATAACTTTTCCCCAAACTTATAAATGAAAACATAAAACATTATAACATTATTAACAATTATGAATTAGATAATGACAACTAGAGAGTTTGTTTCCGTACCTATCACAACAAAAATCACCATCCAAAAATAAAGCATACTTTTGGGGTTGACACTATACAATACTGCTATTCGCTGAGAACTAAAAGAAATTTACAATACTGAAAGTTAGGGATGTGCAATATTATGTGCAATATTAAACACAATAAATATATTGAACAATACAACGATGTTATCATTTTTTTCCGTTAATTAACATTCATTCTTTATAGATTTTTCTACCTTTCCTTTGCAGCTACATATATAATATAGTTTTGCAATTTTTATAAACATTTTTCTTCGATTGCAGGGTAGTTAAAAAACTCGATGTTCAAAAAAATAGTGCTCTGTATCATTTTATTTCCATTATTTTATATATATTTTTCGAGCTTTCTTATTGCAGCTATATAATATTGTTATTTGGTTTTGGTCAAACTTTATTCGAAAAAACAGTTAATAAACACCATCCGAAAGAAACCAAGTCGATAGATAAAAAACAACGGCGTGATAATTTTTTTTTCGTATGGGTGCTATCCGATATAGTTGCCCGTTCCGGCCCGGTCCGACTTACATATTATATACTGCGTGCAATAACTATACAACTTTTGGAAAATTTTCAGCAAGATAATTTTAAAACTAAGTGAGCAAACTGAGTGAGTTTGCATAAAAACAGACTAACGGACAGGCTTACAGACGTATTTTGATTCAGATCGTGATGCCGATCAAAAAAAAAATATGTTTTTTGGGGTCTGAGGTGTCATCTTCACTGCGTTACAAACTTCGTACTGAAATTTAATAATCTCTGCAAGGGTGTTATAAATAAACAATTAAGGGTAAGCTTAAAAACGTTCCCAATGTAGAACATTAAAAAAATATTTTTTGTACAACATATTTATTTTACATTTTGCAATCATAAATAAGCAGGTTATAATCAATTCATATTACTAGATAGAGAGCGACAGTATAACTATCGCCTTACTAAGGAGTAAACATCGGTATTCATCGCCATTCGCCGCGAACGACAACAACAAAGCAACGTCAGTTGCCCATCCCTATTACGAACTACAATCAATATGCAATGAGAGTTAAATACATGTAAAAATTGCAACAATTCGTGAAAAACAGTATCGTAGTTAATATTTGTGCATTCGCACCAGTGAAATAAATTTTAGCATAGCGATAATCGTGGGAAAAAGTCGTGGAAAGCCGCTTGGAAAGGCCAGGTACAAAAACATACACACACAAGCGCAGACGAAGAGACGGGCAGTCACAAACGCACACATGTAACCCGTCTTTTCCATGACAAAGTGAAATAGAAAAAACGTAAGGAAAATAAAGCAAGCAACTAATAAAAAATAAAAGTATTGGGTCGCAAACGCATGACATTTGGATAAACCTATTTTCTGTATTTGTATGATAAATATGGACGACATCGCGAGTGAAACAACGGGTCTTGTATTAATTGCACGTACATATATGTACATAACAATTATATTGTCGCCGTGTGAGTTTTTTTCTTCCTCCGTTTCTTTTATGCGGAGAGATCGGTCGAACCAGAGAATATATATCCGATACCTGTGATATATAACGTGACAAAGGAAGTGACGACGCATTACGGCGATCGGGATTACCGCTCCCGGGATCTTGGGATATTCGCAATTGCGAACTATTCACGAATAAAAACCGCCGCTTCCCCAAATAGACATACACACACGCCCGCACATATGTATGTTTGTGTGTATGGAGTGCGCTTGACACCCTAACATTTGTGTGGAATGTTTGCACAAATAAAACAAATATCATCTTCAACTTGGATTGTATTAAAAACACTCGATGAAAAGTTTAGTGAACTAATCCGCTTTCCTTTCTCTTGTTTTCAGGACTGCCAAAAGACTGTAAAAACTGTGCTCTAATTTGTGGCACTTTGTTTACGTCCGAAGAAAGCAGGTTCCGTCATCGGAAAAGTCGGAAAAGCACCTGCCACTGCACCTGCAGCTCCCTGCTCCGCAGTTCGGACCGCCAATAAAGTGGAGGAGCAGTGCCGACGCTTGCAAAGCATGAATCTACGGGGAAATCCTCCCAAGAAGGAGGGCAAAATGCGCATCCGCGCTTTTCCGGTAAGAAGATAAACGGGTTTAGGGGGAACCCCCGGATATTTAACATTAATTAATATGTATAGATAATTTATAAATGACGTATTTTGTAAAAAAAGTTTGACTGTAATTACGTTTCTGGTTTGAGAGTGAGCTATTTTTAAAGCGTGATAGCCTACAAACATATAATATTTTTTAATCTCTAGAGATTTAAGCGATTCACATTTGTAGTCCTTATCGCGCTTTGCGAAAGTATTTAATGACCTTACAAACATTAAAGAATTTTTTTTACTTGTTTGCAGCTCAATAAAGTTCACAAAAGATGCGATGACAGTTTGCTTGAAAAATTGGTCGATCGCATCGTGAATTTGCGAAATTTCCCGATAAGATAGTTGCGAAGACAGTTTTGTACTTTGTCCTCAGTAGTCTGTTTTCCCGTCATTTTATATTGAATATTCTGTTATGTATACCCTGGCCACCTTAACCTTAACCAGATCGACATATTATCGGATAAAATGACAGACGACAATTAAAGCAAACGAAAAACAAACTAGTCCAAATAAAACATCAAAACTCCCAACGGGCCAGGGGATTTTTCAAATACATTTTAGTTTTTAAGTTACAACGAATTCAATCGTAGTTTTCGAGAAATTATTGTTCCCCAACAGCACAAGCAAAAAGTCGGTGAACCTGTATGTGGAAAGCAGGGTGAAGGGCGAGACCCGAAACGCGAGAAGAACTCTGGCCGGAGATCGGTGCACAGAGGGGGAGGAGGAACAGCAGCAGCGGACGAGAAGCTTCGGGCGGCGAATGTGGCAGGGAAGCCGTCATCATTAGGACGTCAAACGAAAGTCGGTCCCGCAAGGTACCGGCCTCAGCAGTGGGCCATCATCGAGCCCGCTCTCTGGCGCTTAGCGAGGATCAGAGAAGTCACCACCGTGACGGGACGGGGGAGCTAGACCAGCGTAGCCATCTCATGCACGGTCGCGATTCCCGCCAGCAGCAACCGGAGCCACTAAATAACCTAAACGCCAATGGCCGGTACCACAATCGCATGGTCGCCGGCTCTAACAACTTCAATGGCACAAACGTGGGCAATGTGGACACCGGTGCGACCTGCCGTATTTCCAGGCAAACGGTTCAACAGACGCGGAGCCTAAACATCAACGTACCCGCCTCCTCCTCGACACAGCAGCAACACCATCGATTAGCTGCTGTTCATCGGCGGGCGTATCACATTGCCGCCGGAAGTCGACTTCTGACGGAGAACAGAACAACGACCGCCACCGCCACTGTGACCGCGCCTCCTCAGATTTCCATTGCAACACCAGCTCCAGTTCCTGCAGCTCCCGTTGCCGTTAAAACCAATCCAAACGCTACTCGTACCGCTCTCCCAACCGCCGCTCCAAGGGCAGAAAATGTGGCTGCGCGGATAAGGGAAATCGCACGGAAGTTTCCGCTGTGGCTACCCGAATACAAAAGAAAGGCCTTCAATGTTAGCCCACCCTTTTTTTAATGCCCTTTACTAATTAATATACCTTCCCATTACAAATCGAGAAGAAATAAGTTGAAAACGAAACAAACTAAACTAAAACACTATAATAATTTTATTCCAAACAGTATTTATCGCGAACTTCTTCAAACCGGTTAGCAAATTGACCTCTTAAAAGAGAAAGTTTTTATATAATTAAATAGATACTTATTTAAGCTTACGATATAAATGCTAGAAAGCTCCAAAACTCTGCTAACTTACCAATATTTTTATATAATACTAATAAATACTAATAAATCATTTCAATTTATTTCAGGCCTCCATGGACGAGAAGTACGTGGAGACCATATGGGCCAGTTTGAAGAATGCTATCCAGGAGATACAGAAAAAGAACAACTCCGGGCTGTCGTTTGAGCAGCTCTACCGGAATGCGTACAACATGGTGCTGCACAAGCATGGCAACAGATTATACTACGGCCTCAGGGAAGTGGTCTCAGAGCACCTGGAGCACAAGGTGCGGGCGGATGTGCTGGAGGCCCTGCACAGTAACTTTCTGCCAAAACTCAACCAGGCCTGGACAGACCACCAGACCTCCATGGTGATGATTCGCGACATACTCATGTATATGGACAGAGTATATGTGCAGCAGCGAGAGGTGGACAATGTATACAATTTGGGATTGATTTTGTTTAGGGATCAGGTATGAAATGAATCCATATTCGACTTGTAATATATTCATTTAAATCTCTATTTAAAACCAGGTGGTTCGCTATTCGGAGATTCAAAAGGCCCTGCGGGAGAAATTACTAGGCATGGTGATGGAGGAGCGACATGGCGAGGCCATAAACCATTTGGCGATCAAGAACGCTTGCAGCATGCTCATCACATTGGGGATCAACTCACGCACCGTCTACGAAGAGGACTTTGAGAAGCCCTTCCTTGCCCAATCGGCGGCGTTTTACAAATTCGAGTCTCAGAACTTTCTTGCCGAGAACAACGCTGGCGTTTACATCAAGAAAGTGGAGGCTCGCATCACGGAAGAGTCCTCCCGGGCAGCACTCTATCTGGACAAGGACACGGAACCGCGCATTGTACGCGTTGTTGAGGAGGAACTGATCAAGAAGCACATGCGACCCATTGTCGAAATGGAGAACTCAGGTGTGGTGTACATGATCAAAAACTCCAAGACCGAGGATCTGGCCTGCACATATAAGCTCTTCTCGCGTCTCAAAGAGGAAGGTCTTAAGGTGATAGCGGACACCATGTCGGCATATCTGCGAGAGCAGGGACGCATGCTGGTCAAGGAGGAGGAAAATGGCAACACGAACCCCATCACATTCGTGCAAAACCTGCTGGATCTCAAGGATCGTTTCGACCAGTTTTTGGTGCATTCGTTCGCCAACGATCGCATCTTCAAGAATGTTATCTCATCCGATTTCGAGCATTTCTTGAACCTGAACAACAAATCGCCGGAGTATCTATCGCTCTTCATCGATGATAAACTGAAAAAGGGCGGCAAGGGAGTGAGTGTTCCATTGCAAACAGCTTTGTAACATGTATAAAGGCTTTTTGTTTCTTTTTCACAGATGAGCGAGCAGGAGATCGAGTCTATCTTGGATAAAACAATGGTTCTCTTCCGTTTCCTATTGGAGAAAGACGTTTTTGAGCGCTATTACAAGACGCATTTAGCCAAGCGATTGCTGCTAAACAAATCAGTCTCTGATGATTTCGAAAAGAACATGATATCCAAACTAAAGGTAGATTTAAACCACTTAGTTACTCTGCATATATATATTCATTGATCTTATCTTTATTTCAGACTGAATGCGGCTGTCAATTCACCTCAAAGCTAGAGGGTATGTTTAAAGACATGTCAGTCTCCAATACGATCATGGATGAGTTTAAAAACTTTGTAAATAATAACAATTTATCCTTGGGCGGTGTTGAGTTGACGGTACGCATACTAACTACTGGCTTCTGGCCCACTCAGGTATGTTTGAAAACTAGGAAATGTCTGGCAAAAAAAAATTTATTTTATTGCCCCGACAGACAGCAACTCCCAACTGCAACATACCCGCCGCACCTCGCGAAGCCTTTGACATTTTCAAGAACTTTTATCTGAACAAGCACTCAGGTCGACAGCTGACGTTACAGCCACAAATGGGTAAGCACAGTGTAAACATTATCTTTTTAAACTCCTGTTTCTAATTATATATATTCCTTTTTTAGGAACTGCCTATATAAATGCTGTGTTCTTTGGCCGCAAAGCAGCCGAAAGTGAGAAAGATAAGGATGCACCAAGCTCCAGTTCGAGCGGGTGTGCAGTGCCCACCACCACACGAAAGCACATTCTGCAAGTGTCCACCTACCAGGTGAGTTTATGATCTTTAATTTTCTATTAAAATAATTAAATGTAATTTAAGCAATTAGTAATACGCTTTGTAACAAACTACATACTTTGTATCACCAAATAGATGTGTGTGCTGCTGTTGTTTAACAACCGCGACGTGCTTACGTATGATGACATACACCAGGAGACGGATATACCGGAACGGGAGCTGGTTCGAGCTCTGCAATCGCTGTCCATGGGCAAACCCGCTCAACGTTTGCTGGTGCGCAATTCCAAAACGAAAACTAAGGACATTGAGCCTACGGATGAGTTCTACGTGAACGATGCGTTTGTCTCCAAGTTCCACAGGTAAAATTGCCTTATTCAAGCTTTGTTAAAACGTTGGCTAATTATTAAATATCGTAATTCAGGGTAAAGATTCAAACGGTGGCTGCCAAGGGGGAATCGGAGCCAGAACGCAAAGAGACGCGCGGCAAAGTCGACGAGGATCGTAAGCACGAGATCGAGGCGGCTATTGTACGCATCATGAAGGCGCGCAAGCGCATGGCTGTAAGTATATGGGATTGCCCATTAATGATGGATTCAATTTAATTATGATTTATTTATTTTATCTTTTAGCATAACTTGCTCGTGTCGGACGTGACGTCGCAGCTCAAGTCGCGTTTCTTGCCCTCGCCCGTGTTTATTAAGAAGCGTATTGAGGGCCTCATCGAGCGCGAGTATCTGCAACGATCGCCCGAGGATCGAAAAGTTTACAACTACTTGGCCTAAGCGGAGAGGCCAGAACAGCTTGAGCAGGATCCGTATCACACTCATCTTCAAATCGCCAGGACTAGCACACTAAATCACAGTTCGCTGCTCAGACAGCAAACACATGAGCCCACGAGCAGCAATGATATTTTTGACTACGATTATAGATGACCGCCAATAACCCAAAAGCATAAATATACCAATAGGTGCGCCCCGAACTGTGAAATTTAGTTTCGCAACACCATTTTGTAAGCCTGTAATTCAAAATTGAAAAGTTTAAAATGCTATTCAAGCCTCCACCATAATTATTATCCATCTAATATATTTCTTGATATTCTCTAATCATTGTTTACGCTCATTTCTTTTCGCATAACACGTGTATAGCAGTAAGCCCAAGCCACACACATCAGCACCAACCCATTCAGAGACACATCCACATCATCCACCCACAAGAATTAAACGCAAAGCAAGATAAGAGAATAAATGCATAATGCAAGCCCTAAATGTAAGCAGTTGAGTAAATGAGAAGCAAAAGAAATCTAAGCGAAAAGGAATATTAATAACTATAAATATAGCTAAAGTAATAAATTTATAAATGAATTATTAATTTTAGTGAGCGTTTGATGTACATTTATACGTCTGACCTAAATCCAAGTCCTAATCCCTCTGCTAAAACTTTCAAGCCACGTTTTGAGATTTATTTGAACAGAAAATTAAAGATTGCAATGGTTTTTCCTATCTTTATTTTTGTGAACGCCCAAAGCAAGTGTTTATCGTAAAGTGGTTATGATAATCTGTATGAAAGTTGTTTTATCTATTAGTTGATATGTGGAATTAATTCCAAGTATATAGGCAACAGTTCTGTAATGGATTTGAATTAAGTAGGACACAAAGAATTCATTTTGAATAAATCACGAGAAACAAAATTAACGCCGAACGAATGCATGATAACAGAAGCAAGCGCGATCTAAATATTGTAAATACATTTTTGTTCTTACGTATGAAAAATCGATATATAAATAAAAACGTATAATGAGCGTTAACATTTAACAGTTGTTGTCTATCTTTTATAAAGGATTTTAAAACATATTCAATGGAATGCTTCTGTACGCCTGTAAAATAAACTAATTTGGTAACCTTTTTTAACCACAACAAAATGTTGTTTTAAATTGGTGTTTTATCGCTTGATACTATTAACTTGGTTAAATTCTAGATGGGTATAAAAGAAGATAAGTTTTGATTTAATATTTATTTTGGGTTTTAACACCTCGCTTTTAAGGAGTTGTGCAATCTTTCAAATGCTCTGCTTATCGGGCACGAGAACCATTCCCATATCGAAGTTATCAATTCGGCCAAACAAAGTTATCCAATGGCAAATAGCCCACAGAAAAAGCAATAACAATTATGTAAAATTAGCAGAGCCGAATCTTCGGTAAACAGCGGTGACTTGTGGGATACATAGTGCGATATATCGGGAGACCGGGGTGGAAACACAGCACTGCTAAGTTCTTAGGCAAACACGGAGCGATCCAATTCGATCCGATCCGACGCACTGATAAGCAGAGAGTCGGGTTCCCCAATTGGAGAGAGCTTCTCTGCTGGGCTTTTTGGGGAGCGAGTACGGAGCGCTCAGTTCGCAGTTTAGTTGGCGATCGAGATTCAGTTTTGGGTTTCGGTTTCAGTTTTTGCTACGATCCCCAGGCGAAACGTTGTTCGCCAAACTCGCGGAATTCGGATCGGTTTCTCGGATCGAAAGAAATAAAAGCAGCAAGCTGAAACCGTATACTTAATACGCGTGTGTGTCGCTCAAAAAACAAGAAAAAATATAAATAAACAAAACTACATGCTACGTCAGAAGACTACAAACAAAAGATATGAACGCAGCGCTGACGTCGCCGCCAAGGTTCGAATCAGATATAATATTATTTTTTTCGTTTTCGTTTTTTTTTTTTTTTTTCGCCCATTTTTGTGTTGTTTTTGATAAGTTTACAACTTTACAACTGTTGTTGTGAGTTCTGTTTTTTTTTTTTTATTTTGTGTGGTTTTTTTGCGAAGTGATTTGCGTGCACTTCAAGGGGAGGAGAACTGCATTCGAGGCCCTCGCTCTCTTTCCGATCAGCAGTGCCTTGAGTTTGCCGCTCTCGAAGTGAACGTTCCGATGTGGAAACCTTAGACACATGTCGAATTACACAAGCCAATCCCAGCCAGACTAAATCGGCTTTAAGTCATAAGGCGTAAGAACTCGTAAATTTAATGCAATCCCGCAGAGGAAACGGAAGGAGGACGTAGTTGTATTTTCGGATCGATATAATGAGCTCGCGTCGATCTGGTTTCGTCCTGGACGCCAAGTCCATGGGCTTGGATCCCTCGAGACCGCCTTCACCATCACCACCGACGCAATTGCCGGCTTTCAAGCAAAATTGTGTGGAGACGCAGCAGTCGGATATGAATACCAAGCAGCTGGAGAGGGAGGAATCATCCATTGAGGCATCTGGACATGCCCAGTGCAATTCCAGCATGGAGTCGATGTCCACCGATTACTACCGCTGCCTCATCAAAAAACTACGAGACGACACTGGCGATGCTGCCGATGTGAATTTCGAGCTGAACAACATATTTCTCAAGCGGCTGGACGAGATTGACTGCCTGGACGGGCAATCCGGGGATGCAATGGTGAGCAGTTAGGTAATTCAGGGGGTAAATCAGATCACTTTTCGATAATAGAAATTAAATATGATTTGAGAGTAAATTATTTATAATAGCCTTAATAATTACATAAATTCTAAGCTTCTTTTTTCGAAAAAAAGTTAAAAGGAATATAAATCCATACCCGATTTCTTTTAAACTTCTAGTATACCTCCCAACTGCGTTTGGTGACATACCAGGAGTGGGTGGACTTCCTGCTGAACGTAAACAGCGTCATCCTTGGCAACATGTCCGACTTGGAGGAGGAGGGCCTACGGCAAGATCATGAACTGCTTTCAGTCGGTCCAAGGAGAGCAGCAACAGGCGATCGAGGAGAATCGCAAGCTGCGGAAGGACATGTGTTCGATTATTAAGTTTGTGCAGAATGCCTACCACCGCGGTCATTGGGACAAGGAGGGCATATCCCTGGAGACCCTGAGCGTCAACCAGATGCTCGGCTTGGGAACCAATCAGACTTTACCGGAAAGTGAAAGCGAGAAGGTAGGACAAAGACCCTTGAAGGAAATGGGGAGCGGCGATTTCAAGTCTCAGAGCTCCAATTCCCGTAAAGATAAAAGCCCTGCATATAAATGTTCCCCTTGATTTCGTTAATTTATTTTTGTTTAATAAACTTGTGTACTTCGTTTGCTATTAATTATTGCGTGTTTTTAATTGGAGCCTTGCTTTATTACAGATGGGCGAGTGCATGAAGTCCCTGGTCAACGAAATGGCTGCCAAACATGACGAGGTATTGCATTTAAAGTCCCAAATTTGTGCCTTGGATGAAGCAGTCGTCACCGCCACGCAAAAGTTGCTTCTCAAAGACCAGGCAATAGCTCAGCTTCATCAGCAGGTAAGATATCATCGATTAAAGAAAGATATGTTCAACAAAATTTGACTTTATAACAAGTGCGTCACGTTGAGGTAATAGTTTAAAAAAACATCTGGAGAGCTAATGACGTCGATCAATATTAGGCTGAGTTTATAAATAGAGTAATTAAAATATTCTACGTCTGCTCAAGCGATTTTCTTATCATTTAATCGCCTGTTGGGCCGACCGATAGGAAATCCGATCAGCTTACGCTTTTGTAGCATGTCAAATTAATACGAACAATTTCAATGTAGTCAAATCTATTGCCCTTCCAATTTTTTTTACAATAAATTTGTTTTTAACATAGCTGAAGGAGATGAACGAAAGCATTTCCAACATGTCGGAGGATACTCCATGCGAAGGTCCTTCGGCGAATGCCATTAAAGATGTGAAACAAGATCAGATGATTAAGGAGTGCGTCAGCAATACGATAACCGTAGATACTATAACAAACGATCTGCTGGAAAACCTCTCAATGCAGGACTCCCAGGAAAGCGAAATGCTGCGGATACTGAACGAGGAACTGAACGATTTCTTCGAGCTGCACAGCAAACAGGAATACCCGGCCATGGAACGTAGTCGGAAACGTCTTTCCTGCTTTTTCGAAAAAATAGTAAGGGATCTTCTAAATCTTCAAAAATACTTCCTTTCATTTACCCATGATATTTTAGAAATCCGAGCGTGATGATGCCGTTGAAAAACTGGAAAGCATTCGTAGTTATCTGAGGATCCTACAGACAGACCAGGACCTACTCAGCTTAAGCACTATAAGTTTTGAGACAGGCTGCGGTGATCCTGACTACCAGGTTTTAGAAGCCCTACGAAGACGTCTCAATACCCTTTGCCAAAATAACCGGGAATTGCACGGAAAATGCCAGCGGCTGGATACCGAGTCAAAAAGTTCGTATTCCTGATTTTCAAAACGTTGGAGTATCGCTATAACTTTGGGAAAAGTCAAAATTTCAGAGCTTGAAGCTAAGATTGAATTGGAGTGCGGCTATAATCAGAAGAGTGCCGAAATTCTGAAGGAGATTGCCGACCTAATTTGTAAGATGGTGGGTATAGACTTTTTTTGTAAAACAACATTTAATTTAATTAAAACATTCTCTGTAGCGTTCCACGGAATTCTCATATGATGAAATCTACGATGAATCCTTGACGGAAAACCCCTTTTGTATGGCCCTCACGGAAATCCTGGAGGCGAGATCTGTGCAGGTGGAGAGTCAAATGGTGTGTGTGAGTATTTGACGGTTTCGATTACCCCGCAATTAGGCAATTCCAATAAACCCGGTTGTCATATCAAATGCAGAAAAGCGATACGAAAACACCTACCCAAACAAGGGAGCCATCCAGAGCCACCAAAATACCCACAGCCACGTCAAAAACAAAGTCAACAACTAAACCTTCAACTAAACCAACGACAAGTAAAACTCCAACAACGAAAACAACCACAAAATCCAGGACCTCCAAGTAACTATGTCACTTGTTGACCCTCCTAAACATTTAGCCTAAGCTAAGCCAAGTTAAGTGTAGTTAAGTAGAGCTTAAAGTTCGTCAAAGTTGAAAACTTATTTATCACCGAAATAGTTCCCGCCAAAAACTAAAAGAAGATAATACTTCTATATCATGGAATGTTTGTTTATGTACACAAAGCAACTGAAAACTATCTGGCTAAAACAAAGTCAGTAGCTCATTCAAAAGGGGATTGAAAAACTAGAACAATTATCTTTAAGCAGAAATGTTAGATTAATTAATCTCGGAATCCCTTAAAATTCCATTTTGACTTCTTAAGTATACATTCTTTAAGGCTTAAATAAAGCTTGTATCCTTAAGTACATTGCTAAAATTTATGACTATGCCTCTGGCTGAAATATAGTTTTTTTTTTTCGCACATAGAATTCTCTTATGTGGTAAATGACATTCGCCTTCGCGAAGGAAGCCATATATATACTTATATTGTTTTTATATACTCATCCTGGCTGGAATGACAACAAACGTTGTTGCCATTCGAGTCGTCTGATTTATTTACCCATATTTTTTGCCTGGGAGCAAAGTAAGAGATCCATTACACTCCCCTTTTTCGGGTTCTTTGTCTACATTCGACAAATACAAATCGCTCGCGAATGTGTTTATTGTGGAAACTCGGCTGTATGTTCAACTGCAATTGCCCAGAGAGGGAGTACCACCTGGCCCCCATCCAGATTTACCATCTCCCCAGGAACTGGCGAATCGGAAATAGGTTTCGTGTTATTTATTTACCCACAATCGACACGCGAGGCAGGCGAGTAGTGATATGCATATCGATGAGAGCCGCGGGGATTGGGCAAAGGACTCGAGTGACGAGAGCTGCTCGTGATCCTCGTGAGCAAAGCGCCTAGGATTCAATAACGTAGTTTTTTTTTAAGAATCTAGAACTTAATCAGAGCCAATAACTAGAGTGGCTCCAATATCCAATTTTCATAATCTGCAAGATTTAATTTAAATCAATGTCTCCACCAAAGATTTTATTCGTTTAATATAATCGGTGATTGAGTTAGGTAAAAATTAATTTAAAATATTTAAATATGAGTTTATGTATAAGTATTTATATTATAAATATTTTTGGGGTATTTTTTGAGTTTCAATAGTCTTCCTCACGAGATCATCTCCTTGTTGAACTGCTGGGTGCAAAATCAAACACAACTCGGCAGGACGCTTTAGTCAAGGGGTCGTCGGCGCTGGGAACCGGAGTAGTTCGCTTCAGAATCCTGTCATCCGTCGGCGGTTGCTGTTTAGTCGCGTGAAACAAATCAAGGAAGCGCCAGGAATCGGCATCGGGAATATCGCACTATATCCTCGCTGCTGAGCCCCCGCAATAAAAGCTGACGATTTACGACCCCTAATTAGTCGCCCACGCGCCCAACCAACCAATTTCAAATTTTTTCCCCCGCGAAAAACGAAAGGAAAAGCGTGCAATTAGCGAGGAACTTTTCCGCTCAAAACGCGAGGCCAAAAGTTGGCCAAAAGTGCAAATTGTTTTCGAGTGTTTCGAAGGGGAGGAGAGCGAAAATATAGTGAACAGTGCAAAACTGTAAATGTGCAAATTGAGCCAGTGAAAAGGTGTGGAAAACTGATGCGCGGGGGCTGCTTAATGGGTTTAACGACAGACAAGGAATTATAACAATTCATTGCCCCCGTCTTAATCGATTTTCACATTTTCCCCCGGGGCTATCAATTTCGTACTGCTGCACCCCCCCGCTCCATAATAATATGCCTTTAAAAGTGTTTTAAGTGCGCGGTGCCACGCTTTCCCCATCAACCCCTCTCCATCGAGAAGAATAGCCTATCCAAGAGTCGAGACAGACGATATTATTTGCTGCCGCCCGCGGCAACTTTATTTTCAAATCGTGTCAAACAGTCGAGCCCGCGCAAATAATAATATCTATAAAACTGGGGGATGCACCCCCCCGGTCTTCGCCAGCAAACTTGTGTTGCCAAAGTGCCAAAGAAACGAAACTTTGAAACCCGAAACCTTGCCACCTACGGCTTCGAATTGGTTTTATTTTCGTGACAAACTTTTAATAGCAATATTATTGAAATGAAATGAAACGGTAATGAAGTCGAAATTCGTCTGGGTTATGCGAGATATATTTCTAAGGCCGACACGAAGGCTTCGTTTCCAAGCATTCGACACCGAAACCGATTTAAATACAGAGATATATAGACGAATCGAAAATTGACAACCGACAGGTGATTCCGTGCGCCGATTTTTGGGCAATTAGTTACCGATTTTTGACTTGCCATGGTAAGCTTGTTCCATTCGGGTTTTCGACAACAGTTGTCCTACTTCCATTCTTGATTTAAATTTGTAGAACACAGAGGCCAGCTCCTCCGATTGCCCCCATCGCCAGCAGTTGGAGCACACGCTGCTCCACTGCCAAAGCCAGTCGGAAATCCTCCAGGCCACACGCGATAATTACCTCAGCATTATCGATGAGTTCAAGCGCGATCTCGAGGAGCTGACCGAACAGGTGGAGCAGCAGCAACAGCAGCAGCAGAACACTCACACCAGCCAATCCTGCCCAGAACCAGAACTCCACTTTGTGGACTCCCCGCGGATCAACTGCGAACTGCAGATACAAGTTGGCCCAAAAATATTTATATGCTTAAATATATAAATTTAATTAGTTATGGTTTCTTCTTAATATTTTTGAACAGAATGAAAAACTTGCCTGCCAAATCGAAAGACTGCAGGGAAATTTAAAGGATCGAGATGACCAGATTAATCAGCTGCAGTCCATGATAAGGACATACTCCGATTTTAGCGAAAACAATAGACTCAAAGGAGAGATACACGAACTTAAAAAGAGGAATTGTGAGTTACTATCAGTAACATATTTAAATCTACAACTTATAATACTCATAATTTACAAAATGCTGGTTTGAATGTTTAATGATAAATGTTATTTGTTGATTTTATTTAATGTTTTTTTTTCAATATTAAAAATCAATTTTCCTAGGTGATCTATCCCGAAAGGTGCGAGAAATGACTGGCATGGTGAACACCCAAGAAGAGCAGCGCGTGACACTGTGCACCAAGTACGAGGGCCTGTTGGAAAGCTTCGAGGGGCAGTGTGAGGAACTAAATGGAGCCAAAAAGAAAGTGCAGAGCCTGCAATCGCGACTGGAGCAGTTGGAGCAACTCCAGGATGAGCTGAGAACGGAGGTGAGTTTTAGCGCTGTAACATCTTTAATAAATTAGTTAAATGGTTTCATCGTTTTCAGCGTAAAATGCTGCGGGAAGAGGTGATCTGTCTCAAGGATAAGGAGGCCGTTTCAGCAGGTCGCGAGCGGGCACTTAATGATCAACTGAAGAACAGCCAACAGGATGTGGGCAGGAATCGCCTTCTGGTTCGGGACATGCAGGGTCAATTGCAGCAGTCGGACGCCGAGCACCGCGAAAAGGTTAAGAAACTGGAGGCGACCATTGAAAATTATCGGGATCAGATGAAATGTCTTGTCATCAAGGTCCAGGATATGCAGACACGGCTAAAGTAGGTAGATCGTTCGGGATGGAGTGCATCCATATAAGAGCAGCTGCCATCTATTTTCTTCTCGGTAGTCAGCAGGCAGAGGTTAACGAGCAGCAGAAGCAGATCATCGAATCCTTTCGAAAGTGGAAGGAAGCGCAGCTTAGAGCCGACGAGGCGACGCGGCAGTGTGCTAAACAGGCTGAGGACCACATTCAAATGCTGCAGGAGGAGAATCAAACCCTGGTCGAGGACTACCGTACCCTCTTCCGGGATCATTCACTCCTAGAAACGGAGATGCGCCGAGTCAAACAGGCGGTCAACTACGTATCGAGTTCATCGATGGGATATCCACCTCAGACGACTGCTGGCCGTATGATTTCCGAGGCGGGAAACGATGTAAGTCGGAGTTAAATAAATTAGTGGTAACATATTTTATTTAGTCACTAAACTTCAAGATTATTGATTAACAAACATTAATATTCTATGTGTGTTTTCATTTAATGTCCTCATAATTTTACCGAATTGGATTACCATTGGACCGGGCAGCTGACATAAAATGTGTATCTTATATCATGTCTTACTTATCCTGTGACTTCCGCAGATGGCAAGACGCCTGCAGGACCTGACCAGCACTTCCCAGCGTATTTCCAACCAGAACAGGACACTTAACGATCAGTTCTGCGGCCCGACAACATTGCAAAGACCAACAAGAATAGGCAACCCAGTTGCCAATTCCACCATGAGACCCACCCGAAACCCGGAAGATCTGGCGGAAGAGTAACCAACAATCCTATAGAATCCTAGGAATGTCAAGCCCCCTCCCTCCGTCCATTTCAATTCTGTTCACAACCCAAATTCCTAGGCCAACATTTTTGAGGCGCGTAATTTGTAAATTATCTTTGTAAATTGTGGTAGAAAATAAAAAACCAAGTGCTTGTGTAGCCGTTGTTGTTTTTGTGCTGTTTACAATGGTTATCACACAAATCATTTCTCACTAAAATCTTCTTGTCTTTTAAGTTAGCCTTTATGCGTTTAAAGGTAATTGTTATTTATTACACATATTTTTTAAATTTTAAAACAAAGGTTCAACATTTTTATATCTCAAAGATTATATAGTTTTGGTTATACCCCTATTTCCCCTCATCTTGTTGAATTAGTTTGGCTCTTTCACTTATTGCTATCAGAGCCATTTTGATTTGGGTCCTTTTCTTGATGCTCTCCTCGCGCAGGACATCGGACTGCTTAGTAAGGATCTTGACACGGGTGTCGCTGAAGCGTTCTGCCTCTGGAATGGACATTTCCAAGTAAATATCCTTGCCCACGTTGACCAGAATGCTATCCATATTTCGAACACGAGCCTGCATAAAAATGTTGCTCCCGATGTTCACCTGCGTTTTATACCCCTCCGGTAAATGAGTGTCGAAGGTCTGGAGGGTGTTCTTCAGTTGCACATACTCCATAATCTCCTCATTGAACTCATTGATGCACTTTTCGAGCTGGCGAAGATCCTCTTTTAGGACTTCATTGATAAACTCTTCAATCTGTGTTATTCGCGCCTGATTTGCAGCTTGACTAGAAATAATATTATGTCATTTAAGATGTTTAACATAAGAGTTTAATGCGTACTCCTGCATCTTTTGGGTCATTGAGCTGCTGCTGGAATCTATTTGCATTTTAAATTACCCAAATTTTTGTAAACTAACCGGTAACAAACTTTAAAATATGTTGTTTACTTTTGCTTCTTCTTTTAAATCAGCAGGGAAATGGTGATGTCGATAAACAGCAGTTGTGGCGAAATAGCTATTTTAAAGTCAAATCTACCAATTACGTGAATATTTATTAGCTAAAAGATAACATTTTTTGTTTACTATTCACCCCGACTTTAAAATGGCATGCCTTTTAACATTTGTAATCACATTTTTAAACTTTTAATTTCTAAATTTAAAAGTTTTGAAACGATAATCGCTGTGTTCAATTTTTTAACACGTAGATATTCCTAATTTGCTGAAGGGGGACATTAACGATATTTTCCAGGCAAAAGTTAGTACTTTTAAGTCGCCACAAGTTGGCAGCGCATATCACAACATTTGCTTTCGCGCTAATTTTTTTTCCTAACAATCCAAAAATGTCGCTTAAAAAGGCCCTTGACGATTGCCTGATTGATTTCGATCGATGTGTGCTGGTCACTGATCTTCTTGAGGAGTATAAACTGCCCTACAAGGAGGTGGCCGAAGAGCTGGAAGCATATATCAAAAAACAAGAGCCGGCGACAAAGTTTAAAAAGAGATTCTTGGTTCATGGAAAGCGTAGAACGCAGGAAACATCTTCTGGCGAAGAACTTTACACCGTGGTGCAGGAGAGCAAGCTGAACGATTGGATATCCAAAGTTCAAGATGCTGAGACCAAGCTGTACAGCGTGGAAATCGCAGGTGGCTCCAAATCCCCGGCTGCAATATTTAAGCCCATGCAGCATTTGGAGGTGAAGTTGTCCAAGGTGGAGCAGCGGCCTGGAGCGGGCAAGACGGCTCCCACTACAAATGGGGCGCCACTTACCAATGGCTCTTCCAAGTCGCAGGTGTCCAAAACGGAAACCGCCAAGTCTTCAGTTAAGATAGAACCCTCAAAAACTTCGGTCAAGACGGAGCCATCCAAGTCAGAGGTCAAAAAATCAGCAGACAGCAAGGAAAACCCCTCTCCGGAAACTAAGAAAACCTCACCCAAAGAGCAGGACTCGAAAACTAAGCCCGCAGCCGCTAAAAAAGGCAGCATAAATAGCTTCTTCACAGCAGCTGCCAGCAAACCAAAGGATGTCAAGGCTACGCCCAGCAAATCGGCTGCCAGCACGATGGAAAACTTCTTCAAGAAGCAACCACCAGGAGCCAAGAAGTCACCATCCGAGAAAAAAGAAACAAATGCTGCAGCCAAGCAAGATTCACTCAAAAAAGAATCACCAAATAAGAAATCCCCAAGTCCCACCAAAAAGCCATTAGCGGCAAACACCTCCGTTCAACTTTTTGATGCGGAGAGCGCAGAATCATCCGACGAGGAGGAGAAGTTAGACAAGCTGCGACGCAACGTGATCGGATCGGACGACGAATGCGATCAGAAGAAACCTGCCACCTCCAAGCGGCGACGCATCAGCGACTCGGAAGATGAGGAGCAGCCTCCCAAAAAGTCCGCTGAACAGGAAGTAGTCGCAATAGACGATGAAATGGACACGGAACCAGCCAACGAAACTTATCTGGACGAAGAAGGCTTTGTCATTACCCAAAGGAAACCAAATAAATCCCAGCCCGTCAAGAAAAAGGTTTCTCCCAAAGCAGCAGCCCCTGCCAACAAAAAGAAATCGCCACCTTCAGCGGCGAAAACTGGAAAGGATGCGCCTAAAACCAAACAGGCTGGCATCATGAGCTTCTTTGCCAAGAAGTAAATAAAAGCATGAACGATTTTTGCTGAATGTTATGCTCTTAGAAGTAAAAACTTATTTTGTTTTTAATAAACTTATTTATGCGTCAAAATAGTGAGTGATCTAAATAATCAAAAAACGTATTTCAAACTCTTCGACTAAGGGGTAAAATAAATATGCAAGGATTTAGAGTAATTAAAAACACAGTTTCTATGTTAAAAAGAATTTATTGCATTTGTTTATAGCTACTAGAAGTTGTTTGAGTATCTTGTTTGTAATTTGTATTATTTATTTTTATAGAATCGCGTGTCTGATTGTGTGGGCGTGTCGGTGTGAATTTTGCCTGGCCTATGCTTTATCAGTGCGTGTTATGTTCGTTTTCGATTCTCGATCGAAACTCTTCGTTATCTTTACCGTATTTCAAAACACTTTAAAAAATTAAGGCGAGGTTTGAAAAACACTTGTTCGTTCATATAATTCGAATATTCATTAATTTAAATTGTTCATTTGTTGTCTTGTTGTTTTGTTTCTGCAGTGATTGCGTTTGATTCCTATCTGATTTTTAAGCATTAAAAGCTTACAGTCAGGCTGCCCGATGGCAAGCAAATACATATGTAAGTGATTGAGTAAGGGTTCGTCTTGGGGTGGATAAAACAATTTGTCGTGTTTCTGGCAAACAATCGAGATCAGTGGCTACGCTTAGGTAGAAGCTTCTCAGAAGCTAAAATAATGCTTACACTTAGATTTGCTTCGGCCTATCTACCGATTATGTTGTCCATTTCGGGTGACCCACTGTCTGATTACTAGGATTCAATATTTCAGGTTCAGATTTGATTTTAATTTGACTACAGTTTAACGATTTCGAATTCCGACAAACATTCAGTGGGCCATCCCAAGCGGTTACAATTGTAGCTTTATTAATTCATAGATATTGCTCGCGATGCAAAATGAAAAAGTCATTTGCTATTTAATCAATCAGTTAATCAATAATTTCCTAGGTGTGATATGAACATAATGTGTGCATGATATGACTCTCTACTAATATGATCGTTTTGATTTCTCTCGCACGCTACTTGCCTTGACTTAATCACCTAAATGAATGTAACATTCGTTTCGTACAATTTAATATCTCAGCACCATTTTTTTTTATAAATAGCACAAAGTATATATATGCATTTACGTTTTGTTTTTTGTATGGGTCAACAATAGAATTTTCCTAGAATTTGTGGGTGTTGGTTTCTTTTCTTTTCGCTACAGAGTAAAATATATCTAAGTTATTTAACTTTTCTCGTTTCATTGTTTCGTTTGTCATTTTAACTCTTTTCTAAACTTGCGTATCTACGACACTGCCATAGGACTCTTCAGCAAATTTGGGCGCAATATAATCCTCGTAGTAGTTGATGAATATATCCTTGAACTCATCGGCGATGAACTCCAAAGCGTTTAGCATTTGCATTAGCTCCCTATCGTTGCACTTGTAGTTGCTCAGCGCCATCACATCCCAGAAGTAGGCAAAGTATTTCACATACTCGATCGACTGTCCGCCGTATTGGGCCAACACGCTGGGCAGCACGGATCGCAGGATGGAGCCCAGTTTGTTGAACTCCCAGTCGTCCAGTACTGTGGCCCCCTCTTTTTGGTTGTCGCAGTTGTTAGAGGTAGGAGGATCAGACAGAGAAATAGAGATCAGAAGTGAAAGTTTACAAGAGAATACAGGAGCAGAAAATGTTACAATACAACAATCTAATTTTGGTTCAAAAACTAATTGTCGAATTCTAAAACTTGGATAGTATTCATTTTTAAATTTTTTAAGTATAATCGTAGAAAAAGAAATTAATTTAAAGATAAATGATACAATTTTGTATGCAGGAATTTAATTACAGAATTTAATATTTCTAGGAAAAGCTATCGAATTGATTTTGTCTATAAGTAGTTTCGATAGTTAGGATTTATAAAATGAAATTTTGGGTAGAAATTTGGGATAGGTGCGCAACCAAGAGAGAACAGTGAGCTGGCGATGAGCAAAAATCAAGTAAATGAAGCCCCTGGTCTTCATATTTAAGGACTTACCGCGGTGCACCATAAGACACTGCTCCAAAAGGAGTCTGGCCAGGGCCACCTTGCACTCGTGCAGATCCATCAGTTGATTCTCGGCGCGCTCGATGGCTGCGTACAGCTTGCAGCGCTCCTCGATCAGTTCACAATCGATGAGGGAAGTGGTGAAGGCCCAGAACCACTCCAGTTTCTGGGCCTCGCCGCAATGGGGACACAGGATCAGCTCGGCGCCACTGCACTCCGGCTGCGTGTACTCCTCGGAGAGCCACCAACGCAAATTCGTGGCATGCGGCAGGTCGTTGGGTGTGAAGATTTCCATGCACTTTGGGTTATCACAACGGTAGCGATGAAATTTGTGCTGCAGGGGGAAAGAAATCAAAAATGATTTTAGGATATTCCATTTTTTTTAAATTAACACAAGAAAATAATAATTTTGTAGCTTTTAAAGTTTTTTTTAGTGGCCTGACTTACGAACTGATCTTCCGAGTGCGAGTTATGGCAGGCATTACAATGACACCTGATGCCGCGGTCCTGGAGCTGCTTGCTGCGCTCCTCGCGCGGCAATTGCTGGAAGTTTCCGCCGGCAAAACAGTTGTAGATGCCGGATCCCGCCGGCAGATCCAGAAGGGCCAAGGCAGTCATCTTGCGGCCGGAGAACTTGGCGCAGATCGTAGAGGAACAACTGTGGCGGCACAAACTCAGTGTTTCCGGGTACACGGAGTACGAGACGACGGCCACCTCGCCGGCCAGCAGATGGAGATGACCCTCCTGGAGGCGCATGGGTGCGGCCCACAGCTGGAACTCGTTGAGCGGCGAGAAGACGTGTGGATCAGCGGGCAGGACGAAGGATCGACAGGCGGTGAGCGAACGGTGGCGCAACTGACCAATGTGTCGCATTAGCAGAGCGGCGCACAGAAGTTCCCATTCGGCACTCGACATCCTGGACGCCGTGGGCAGGCTCTTCTCCAGCTGGTCGAAGAACGTGGTGCACTTGCTTAGGTAAATGGCCAGTATATGAGCGGCGAGAGCCAACGCAATCACGGTGTCCGTCGGTCGCTCCTCCCTTAACCGCTCCAACCGCAACACAGCACTGTAGGCGATGTCCTGGCGCTCCTGCAGTCCGCCATTAATCGCAGACCAAAGCTTACTCAGCGTCGGCTTCTTCCGGCAGTGGCCCAACATCTCCGGCAGGCCCGTGATCATCATGCGAAAGGCCAGCTGCAGGAGTCGCGGCATTCCGAAGACCTCGCCGAAGGACTCAAACAGCTCGATCTGATGACCAAAGCACTCAACCGCATGGATCGCAGCGTGCTTGAAGCGGCACTGACGGGAACAATAGACCACCAGACGGTTGGAGCAGTAAATGCAGGGAAAAGGTATGAACTGGGTGATCCCGCAATAGTCGCACACCCGGCAATTTCCACTCGGCACCATGGCCATCGCCTCGGATTCGAAGATAAGTGCGTTTTTGGCCACCGCCCTAGTTGTGTGCAGTGACGAGGAGTTGTCCAACCAGGCTCTACAACATATATCAGTGTTATAAAAGAAGAATATATTGGATAGCTGGTGCTCCACTCACATTTCAAACGCTTTCGAGTCGTTGGTATCCAGATCGTCACCCGTTTGTACGGCCATCTCGAAGCGCTCCACCTTGAGCACCTCGCACTGGTGCCAGAGCTCATGGGTCCTCGCTTCGAACACCTGGTTCAGTTCAATGTGCAGGAGCTCGTGGAGATGCTCCTCGCAGAGCGCAAAGTTGCGCAGTTTTAAGGCACAGGCGGCTTGGCGCAGCTTAATCAATGGCAAATACTCCTCCGGATAGCCCAGATCCAGGGCGCACAGGCAGTCGTCGTAGGATTCCTGGAGAGATTCGAAGATAATTTTTATCAGTTGTTAATTTAATTCAGTTAAGAAATCTGTAGAAGTTTCTACTAAATTTTAAACTGCATTTAAGAAGGTAGATCTGTTAAATGCAGGAGAGGATTTTTTGGGACATGGACAGCTTACCGCATATAGGCCGCAATCGAAGAGGACCAGGGATCGATTGGCGTGGGCCAGGGCGGCTGCCAGCGTATTCCGTGCCGGAGCCAGGAAGATGGCCTCCGTGAAGAGATCGCTGGCTTTGAGCGGATGCCGCTCCTTGCGGTACGAATCGTTACCAGCCTCCCGCAGACGACGCGACTCCTCCTCCGACTTGAAGTGGCCCGTCTGGTGGCGCAGATGTTGAAACCATTTGAGTACGTGTGGTCTGTGCGATTTGGAAAAGGGGGCTTGGTTAATTATTCACGGCAAATGTCAAAACGAAGTGACCCAAATTCCGAGTTCGACAGCAAACAATGCTCCTTAACTTAAACGTACGAATGCATGCAATCGAAACATACCGCCGGGTACACTGGCCAAATTGCCCGAAAAAATTTGTAATTACACTGCAGTCTAGAATCTAGATCTGACTACTTAAAAGGGTTATAAGGTTAATACTTTAACTTTAACTATTTGTAAGTCACTAATGTACGAATGTTGTTATATTGTAATTTGTAGATTTTAATTGTATAATCAAAAAACTATTCCAGTGTGCAGAGGCACAAAATCAACTCCCACAAATTAAATTAATTTCATGGGGTAATTATGGATTTGCATAATAGCTCGGTTGGCCGCCCCTGGAACTTAACCCATATTGGGCCACTAGGCTAGGTGGACAACGCGACAAAGCTTTTTTGAATATGTTTTCGCCAAACTCGGTTAAATGGGGTGAGCCTAAATAACCAAATTTATATAAGCCTTAACCAACAACAACAATAATTTGGTTTAATAGATAGGTGTTTTGGATTTCCAAGACTATTTACTAGTTAAACCAATAAGTTGTTTTTTTACAAAATTAATTATTTAAAAATTTAGGCAAAATATATAAAATTTTGGATCGTTAGAAGGATTAAAAAATAAGTCAAATATTAGTTTAACTGTAAATAATAATAAACTTAAATATTTTTATAAGTTACTGGACATAAACTGTAAAATGTTTGTGAACATGTAAACAATTTGTATTATTGTGGTATTAGAAATACCGCAACATGGGTTAATTGTCATAGTCGTAACAGCCGTTTTGTTCACCTAAAATCCAGCACCGGGTCCTTGGTCGTGGTTGGGGACGAAATCCCCAGTCCGCCCACCGCCCCAACTAGATCCTCGTCCTCCTCGCCGTTTTCGGGACGCGAGAGCGGTGCCGCCGAGGTGCTGGGCACCAGGATGTCGCCATCCTCCAGGTCGCGGCTCAATTTCTGGCGCTGCACGGGCGTTAGGAGCAGGAGCAGCTGCAGCTCATCCTTGTAGAGCAGCTCGTCCGGATTGTGGTGCTTCAGCTGCTGGCCAATCAGGTCGCTAAGGGTAACAGCAGGTGGAGCGGGAGCGGTTGGAGCAGTGGAGGTGGTGCAACCGGAAACGGGAGCGGACGAGGAGGTGGAATTTGGAGCGGTGGCAGGTTTGTTGTTGTTGTTCACACGCGCAGAGGATGTGGAGGAGGCCATCACTTGGCGACTGGTGGCTGGTGCTTTTGGCTCGCTTTTTTCTGGTCTCGCGCACTCCTTCCGTTCAGTTGGCCATCTTGTCACTGCAGCGGCGGCAGTCCTGGCGAGTTATTGGCTATCAATTCGAATGCACAACGCCCCGACATCATTGACTAATAACGCTTGCTAAACTTTCACGAACTCCCGCACGTTGTGGCCTTCATATTGATTTTTTTAAACATCGACATCCGTGCTAGTGATGTGACACTTGTAACGGACTTATCGCGAAGGGTTGCACTACCCGAGTTCCCGTTATTTTGCATACGACTTAACCCTATCTTAGCGGGGTTTTACCCCTTTGAATTAAATTTAAACTTGCTTAGCAACAAAAAAACTGTTTTTAGAATACGTTTGATTTACCTGAAAAATTTAAATAGATTCAGTTTAACGTATAATAATTTTATAAAATATTTTAATTTTAATTCAAGTTTTAGGAAAATATATTTTTAAAATATTTTCAATTTTAAGTGCGTATTAAAAAGAATTTACTTGAACAAATTGGTTGGCATATTCTTTGTTTTATACTTAATATGTTATTTTATATTTGATTTATTTTTGTGTATTTAAAAATCCAATTTATATTAATATATATTATTTTTCTAATTTAAATTTTTTTTACAGAAAAACCACCCTACTTGTAAGTGTTACCCCTGTATTTATTTTCGGCGAATCTCTCGTCACAACTTCGTCTACCAAAAAATACCAAACGCAAACTTTTTTCGTTCATCTGGCAACTCTTTGAAAGAGCGCCAAGTTCTAAAAGTTCAGATGTGGTCTTCTTTCATTCATCTTCTTATCTAGCTGATCCAAAGAATAAACAAATCCCGTTGGTCGTCTTTCCGCACGTTACCATCATTGAACGGTCCGTGTGCTATATTCACAGTTGACATTCCCCGCTGATAAGGCCGTGCAGCTTTCCTTCTCCTTCTCTCACCTTCCAGATTGATCCACCTCATCTCGTCTCCCTTTCGAAAAACAAACACATGCATTGCACTCGGCTCTCTCCGAATTGAAAGTTGTAAGTTTAACCGGGCTTATCTTGTATTTGCTATTTGCTCGGATCTTATCATTCACAGCCTCTTTAGCGGTGGAGCATATGGAATTGTGATCGTATAAGAAACACTTGTCGCTCGGATCTTGTTTTGTAACGTTCCTCTGTTTTTCTTAATGTGTTTTTGTGTCTTTAATTGTTGAAAAAGAAAATAAAAATACATATAATAATGTCCAAGAACGAGGATACACCGATTGCCAAGTAAGTTGGGAAGGAGAAACGGGGTTTATCGTCTGGCTTTCTCCGCAAAAGTTTCCCCGAGCTCAAAAGTTGGCCGAAAATAAAATCTCTTTTGGGCGAAATTAACATAAAGCGCCAAATGAGCTGCTGATTTGTTAAATAGGCGTAAGAGCGGACCGCGTGGGAATGGCGACAACTGTCGGGGTTCTGGGGTCTTGGGGATTTTCTAGGTGCGCAGAGGCCTTCAAAAGTTGGATAGAAAGCTTAAAGTGCGACGGCTAACGTATTTTGCTTCTCTTTTTTTTTTTTTTTTTTTTTTTTTGCATCACCCCACCGATTTTTTTTTCCTTTGTGCAATTGCGTTGGAAAGTTGCAGAGCAAGTAGTTTAGCGCCATTTGCACTTTTCGTAGTAAAAATTACGCGCACTTGCTCTGGAAACACCCACACACACTCGCATGCACCGGAAAACTTATCAACGGGCACATCACACGCACACACACACACACACGTGCCGCTGATGAAGGCGGCGACGGTGGAATGGGCGTGGCCTTTAAGTAGTCATCGTAGTTTGCGTTAAGTAACAAAACTTCAAATTGAATTTTTCGCAGCACTTTTCATTTTAGCACCTATCAAAAAAACCCTTTTGGAGCGTTTCGCTTCGCTTTTCGAAGCATCAGCTCATTACAGTGGGAACTGCCTGCTGATGGACGGTCGGTGGGTGTCATACTTGGAGGTACTTTTAGGTAGTTTTTGGGCGTTCAACATTGTGTCTGCTTAAATGCCGCAGTGTTTTGTTGGCACCGGCAACGGCTACGTTTTAATTCTCTTTTGGGGTTTTTGGAGTTGAAGCTTCCCCAAAAAACTTTTCCTGCTGTGGCTGCAGTTCGTTTTCATTCTTCTCAGACTTCTTTCACTTGTTTACCGTGGAAAACAAGTAAATTTCTATAGAAACTTGGTAAAAAAAAATGTCTAAGACTGGTACATTTTAATTAAAAGAATTTGTTGTGAAATAGCTTTAGAGTTTTGTGTAGGACCTAACATGCATTTTTAATTCTTTCTTGAGTTTGATTCTATATTCTTTATTATGTTCTTAAGGTAAAGATCTTATCCTTAAGTTCATTAAAGGTATGCAAGTAATTAAGTCTTTAAAAAAATAGGAAAAATGTCATTCAAGACTATTACATTTTTACCTGCAATTGGTATTTAATATTTATACCCTGTTGATTAATTTGGTTAAACATTGTTTTTTGGGGATCGTGAATTTTTCATGGACTAAACAATTTCATTCTCTTGTAGACGGAACTCGGACCGGACGCGTCGGAGCAACTACGGCACGGCTCCCTCGTTCCACCTGCTGGAGCAGGGACAACCAGGTGGCAATGGCAACAACAATCTCCCGGCAACGCCCTCAACACCTGCGCAAATTTTTTGTTTACACGGGCGGTCCAACAACGTCGAAGGTGAGTGGCAACAGCAACGGCTTAAATGGAGAGAAAGGGGGGTGGAGAGGGGGTGGAAAGGGGGGGGGGTAAAATGATGGAGGTGAAAGGTCGACGGAGTGACTGTGACAAACTGCGGGGCACTTTCGTGTCGCTTTCAATCAGGGCGGACTACCTCGCAGCAATTTGCAGTCATTCATAAATTATCAAGAAAACGCAGCAGGCAGAGGCATTTTGCACTAAAAGTCAAATGCAAACTAATCAAAATCGACAACAACGAAAATCAACTAAATTAGTTTTCACATTGCTATTTTCGTGTTTTTTACTTGGCCGTGTTTACCAATGGCTGTTTTCACAAATATTGTAGATGTTTGATTGTTCTTAAGCTTTGTTTGTTGTTCCACCTTCTTTTCTTTTTTTTGTGTTTTTTTTTTTTTTTTTTTTGGTAAAAATCGAAAATTCTGTGCAATTTAACCGCGTGCATGCAACTGTATGGGTGAGTGAGGAGCTGTAATATCGGGTAAATGCTCGCTAATTGGCAGACGGCACGGAAATCGTCGGAAATGAATGATGCCCGGCTATATCGAAAAGCGGCGACTTCGCTGGATAAATGCCGCATGGAAATGCTGCACGAATATGGTGAGCAAACAACTTACCACCTACTCGAAGCTTTATATTTCCGCCCACTCCCTCGATTTGAGTCGCCTTCCCCTCCCTTCTTCTCTCGTCATCAATCAGCTGATGATTCTCGAGCTTGGCAAACGAAATTATGGTGGAACTGGGCCGTTAACCAGCACCCCACCATCCCCAGCATCTGTGTGGCATAATCAAAATTTATGCTCTTTGCTGACACACCGCTGCTGGGAGCAGACCGCATCCCACTTTGGCCATATGTCATAAATCGCCAGAGGAGCCAGTGTAACGCTCGCCATCATAATTTACCTACGACAACGTCGATGGACCAAATAAATGTTTGGCTCATTTTTTTCATTCCCTTCCCGCCCCCCTTTTGCCCCCCCTTTTCCGCCCGAAGATTATGACTACGTAGGGTCAGAAACCCAGAAATCGATGTGGCTATGTCAAGTTTATATTTTAATTTCCTCTTCGGAGGCTGCTCGATTTTTACTCCTGGCAAATACCCTGTACTAAAAGTTCAAAATTGGGGAGCAAAACAAATGTGTCTCATCGATTACCTTAGAATTCCTTGCTATAAAACACTATAAAATGTGTGCACAAAGTCAATAAAGATTTATTAAGAATATCTGCCCAGTAGCATCAAAAAACTTAGTTGCTTTCTTTACACTCTATATGAAATAGAAAAGAGCAAATTTAATATATATAATACTTGTTTAAAGTTATACATATTTAAAACTTTCGAATTTCTTTTGATATTTATTACTTAAGCAAAGGGATCTAATCAATGAGCATCGGTAAGTCGCGAATGTCTTATGGAATATCTATACTTATTTCTCCCTTTTTGGTGATGATTCGATTTATTGGCAGACGGAAGAGCCCGAAATAAAATTACCTTGCGTCTAGACGAGGTGGATCCGCCTCTGAGAGCTTCTGCCGTCGAATATCCGCACACTCAGATATACGTGTATCTATATATAGTACCTATATATTATGTAATCGTCTTGGGGCGCTCAGGTGCATTCAATCATAGTTTGAGTTAGTAACTTCGATTAGACGGCTTGACTAGCCAAGTGCAGCTAGCCAAGTTGCAGCTGCTTTGATTTGCGCTGGCCCGTAGTTAGTCGTTCGTTAAACGCGCTCCAGATGGGACCATTTGCAAATGCTGGAATACTAAGCAGTTCGTATTGGTCCGCTCAGTTCGGTTCATTGTTCCCCCGAGTGAACCTGCCCATTCCCCATTGTTATCGACGCGTGCTCCGATTCCGACTCCGATTCCGGGTTATGGATGTGCTCAGGCTCAGGGATGCGGAACTAAGCGAAGGTATCTCCCTAATTAGGATGAAGGATGATGCTACAAAGCTATATATCTCAGCTCCGGCGTTTACCCTAATTACCATTTTGCACGCAGAATCAAAACTTATGTAATTACATATCTGACTTACGAACGCAACGGATTTCGAGCCGGAAAATATTTATTTAGGGTCCAGACCTAAAGTTAGGTGTTTCCTTTGCTATTGTGTTTGTTAGAAATTTTCCCTGTTTTTAGAATAACCCTTTTAAAACGATTTAACCATATTTTGAAATAACAGAACTTGTTTTAGTTTGTTTTACAAGGATGGGTAAATATGATTTTTTTATATTTCATTTTGTATCTGACGGTCAAGTTTGCGAATTTAAACCTATTTTATTTATGAAATATTTTTGGAGCATGTGGAATTCCAAAAATACAAGTTAAAATAAAACACTGAAAATCTCTCTTATTAAATTATTTTAATGCTTGCTTCTCAATTTATTGTACTTAAAATTCAATTCAAATACAACACATTTTTTATTTTCAATTAGAGAGTATAATGGGTTTCCATAGTCAAGAACTTGCTGGATCATCTTTAGGTTTCCGTCAACTTATTGTCACTGTGTCATCGATATTTGCACATAATGGAATGCTTTTTGTCGCGTATTTGTTTCTATCCAATTAAAGCTTGTGCGCCGGCACTTGGCATCGAGTTTGGGTCCGATTCCCGATTCCCGATTCCCGCTCCCGTTCCCCAAACCCTCGGCTCCATCATTAATTATTTATAAGTACAAGTACACAGTACAATTGTTGCCATGGCAGAACCAGATACGGATGTGAAGAATAAGGAGGAGAAGGAGGAGGAGGAGAAGAAGGAGCAGCACATATCCAGCCCACACCCGACATTAACCTCAGCTCCTCGGGAATCCAACATACTTTCCGCATTGCGCAAACAAACAAGGCGAACGAAACGAAACTGAACGGAGCGGAGCGGTCCAAGGTGACCAATTAAAGATGCAGATGGATCGGAGTTGTTTAAATTGCAAGTATGACGATTCTTATGCATCAGCTGGCTGCAGTGGCCGTTATAACCAAAAGGAGGGAAGCTGGATGCGGGTCTAATAGGTGAAATTTCCACGTGCCACAATCGTCGCACTCGCAGTCGCAGTTGCAGTCGCAGTTGCAGTTGCTCCTCCTGAGTGCGGAGCCTTGGTTATGCACAGGAATTTAATTTCGCTGCCGGCATTGTTACTGCCATTGTGTGATTGTAAGTGTGAGTGTGTGTGTGTGTGTGGAGGCAAAGGATGCGGAGGACATTGAAGGTGGCAGGAGCAGGAAGCGAATGCCAACAGACGCAGGCCAGGCGTCGGTGGCCTTGTGCTGGATTCAAATGAAGAAACCGCGTTCACAACGCCACCATGTCAGTGATGAGGTGCTCCACATGTTCACCGACACGCACGGAAAGCCAATCGCACACTGAATAATATATAATTAATAATTTAAAGCAATCACGGTCATAATGGTTCAGTGGATAATCCATTAAATACCGATTTAAATAATATAGATTGTTTGATACAATTTCCTACATCAAACTAAATCCATAAATGTGTGGTATTTATATTTAAATAATATTTTAGCATAATATAATTATAAAATTTATTTAATGTTTATGTGACTACTTAAAACTTTATGCAATTTTTGCAAATCTTCGAAAGAGTGTCATATAAAACTGGATTGGAAATTCTAAACACAAGTTGTATACAAATCTTCTTAAACTTCAAAGTAAGGCTTGATTAGCCTCATCATAATTTATAGTACCTTTCAATATTGTTTGCACGTGCCCATCTCTATGGCTTCCACTTGCAGAGCTGCCAGCCAGCGGAGCATATGCACATGTATGTATGCTCCTGGAGCTTTTCCCGCTCCGGACAATGGAAAGCTGCACTGCAAGTAAAAATTGAGGAGTGGGCGGTGACCAGAGCAAGTGCAAAGAAAATGCAGCGGAAATGACAAAGCATGAAATACGGCTGCGACAAATGCAATAAAGTATTTAATAGACTGCTCCTAGCCGACCAAGAGCAACCAGACCAAACCAAACCAACTGGCGAACCAAGCCAAGCAACTACCAACTTTCTCCTGTCACTGACACCCAAAATGAATAAAACCAAAAAATGGAGAGGGCGTGGGGTGTAATAAAAAAAAAAAAAAACCGAAAATAACATAAAAAACAAGCGGAGAAACTTCCGGAAATGGGCCATATACCGAATTCATATGGGAGGGGCGTGGCGAGCAGGAGCAGGAGGAGGAGGAGCTGGAGGATCAGGAGCAAGGAGCAAGAGCAGTGCCGGTGGTCATTATTCACGTACCATGTTAAATAAATTTAAATGCCTGTTTTGTAAATATGTATGGCACGCTCAGCGGCATAACAGATGGGCGAAAGGAAAAAACTTACTCCCCGAAGGGAATTCAATGCGCTTCGTTCGCATGTGTGCAGCACTGGCACATTGTTAATTTAACACTTTCGCAACAAAAAAAAAAAAAGGAGGAATATATATTCTTTATAGTCTCAAGCAGGGCTTAAGAAAATCATTGAATTTATTCAACGGACATGATGCAAAGAGTGTGTTAAGACCTTGTGTAAACAACAAAGCATAATTGGACTCAATGAAAATAAGCGTTAAACGTAAATATTTAACACTGGCCGGACGGTTCACAATTGTTACAATTTACAAGTGCTCAAACTGCCAATCCAATTATGGGAAAAATATGTATTTTATATTTCAGTTGGTGTGTATTGAAATTATGTTTTTTGGTGGCACTCTGTTGTTAAACCATTAATTTGTAAATAAATGGCTGCAAAGCTGGAAATAAATATACAAACAGGTTATTACAATGATAGGTAGCTATTTTTGTAAAGAATATGTTAACATATCGTATTATTTTAGCATATCGTTAATATTTTTGTTGGGGAATCGCAAATAATAATATCGTTTTTTGTGAGATACCATTTTTTATTTTTATTGCACTGTTTGCTAACTTTTGGCCTGTCTTATTTACTTTTCAGTCCGAGACCATTGCCATCGGGCAAGAAGCGAGGGAGTGGACGTGAAAGCCCGCCGAAAACTGATCATAGCCAGCATCCTGTGCTTGGTTTTTATGATTGCCGAAATCGTAGGTGAGTCGAGTTAATATTCATACAAGGGCAACATCCGCTTTTGTGTCCTCCGCTTTCAATTCCTGCCGACAAAGGACTCTTTCCCTTTTCAATTCCTCTTTGCAATCTTTCGTTCTGTCTGCCTTTCAATTCCCAAACTAATTTTGCTCACCTCTGAGAATCTGAGCCAACAAATAAACAAAACGTAAAGAGTGAAAAGCGAAGAAAAAAGTTAAGTCAAACAATGCGGGCAGCAAGGAATAAGCAAAAAGGATGCGAAGGAGACGGATGACGACGAGGACGAGGACGAGGACGAGAACGACGACGAGACGATTAAAAACTGAGGACCGGAAGTGCAACAATATGGCGACCGGAAAGGCTTACTGTCTGCCGTCAACCCTCCTCCTCCTCCTGCTCCTTCGTTTATGACGGCACCCGGGGTTGGTTATACAATAAACATTTAATTTTCGAGTGGCGACGATGTCGTCGGTGCTTCGACGGCTGTTGCCGTTAATCGCTTTGCAATTACCTACAATGTTCGGTCGGAAGAAGGACGACGACGAGGTGCCCAGTGGGTGGAAAGGAATCCTTTTTTTACGCCCCTCGCTTTGCACTCGTTTCTTTCGCTTTCAAATCGAAATTGTTGTTGCGATAAGGGGAAATAGAGGGAAAGGGACTGCAGCTCCACCCTTTTAATGTTTTTTGGCGACCAAAGCCAGGGGGATTGTCACCCGGCCGCCGTTCAGTCCCCCAATCAACGTCCACAAGTCCCCCACAGATTGCCACGATGCCGAGTTAATTTTTTGCGCATTTATTTACTTTCACAACTTCGACCTGGAACAGGTGGCGTCCTATCGAACAGTCTGGCCATCGCAACAGACGCCGCACATTTGCTCACCGATTTCGCCAGTTTTATGATCTCGTTGTTTGCCATCTGGATTGCCGGACGCCCATCTACGCAGCGGTAAGTACTCCATGCTAAATGAAGACACTGCCAAAAGTCGTTTGTCGAAAAGGGGGGAGCTTGGGGAGTTGGGGGAAATCAATAAAACGTAAAGTTTCAATCTTTTCCGCATTTCTTTTTGTCACTGACGTCTGCCAACTCCTTGGCAAAGGTTCGTGTGCGCCCCCCTTTATCACCGAACTGGGAGACTTCAGACCCTGCCCAGGGAAATATCGTAAAACTATTCTCTGAATATCCTGCTTTGAGTGGGGTATAGCTAATTTGGAAAGCCTCTGGGGAATTATAAAGCAAACGCTTTAAACAATAATACTCGTAAGGAAAACCTTTTTGAAAAATCAATCCATTGAATGCTTTTTAAAATTTACAAGAAAATTTCTTAGGTAATACTTTTATTTTATTATGTTCATGATATAACTTAACTTAAATTCGACCAAATAAAATGTTGTTATTAACTAACACCTGTTGACACGATAGTCGTATCGTTACTATGTACTAAATAAGAAACAGAAAAACAGTATGTATTTGATTGCCTCAGCATCTTAGAGACAATTCCCTTTCTAACGAGTGTATCTGCATTGCCCTGCAATTTATATTCCACTCTTATATGGCTGTTCTGCCACCATAATTTCTGTCGCTCGACTTGGCCATCCTCCATATCCTTCGCTGCTGCCTGCATTTCCCATTCGCCGTCGTCTAATTAGGCGAAAAGCCTGTTTCCAAATTTTCAGTGCCTTCCTCTGCGTCTGTGGCTGCTTTTGTTGCTATTGCTGACAGTGATGCCGATTTATCCTTTTCTATAAATTTTGGTTAGAAGCATTTTAGACTCTTTTTTTTTTAATTTTATTTTTTTTATCAATGTCTTACATTTTTAATAATTTTAGTTCACAAAAATATCAATAAGATATGTTTTATGAACTTGAATTGAACTTAACTTAAAACATTTCTGAGATTGCATTCGATAAATTTTTTGTGAAAATCGAGAACTTCATTAAATACATAAATAAAATTTTATTTTTTTTAAAATATTTCTTCTTAGTTTTTGGTTTACAAAGTATATTTTTCGCAGCACTGTTGCCTGCTGCTGTTGCTGCTGCGCACTGTACATTCGGCCGTTGCACATTTTTCAATTGGTCTTTGGGAACAGCACTCCCTTCCCAATTCCCATTCCCCACCAGCCCCCACGCCTGCCACCACTGCCCCCACCTCCCCTTGCCGCCACGGCATCCATCTTGGGCTCAACTAGAAGGAGGGAGGCAAACGGCACGTTCTGCTCATTCATGCAAAAATCTCACTCACTCGACGACTCGACTGCAGCCACAAAGTGAATAATGAAAAACTTTTGCAATTTCAAGCGTGTTGCATGGTAATTTTGTAAATTTCGCTCCTGCCACCAGACTCTCAGACCGGGTCTCCTTCGTCTCCAGTGCGTTGATGTTGCTTCTGTTTCTGTTCCAGTTGCTCTTGTTGCTCTTGTTGCTGCATGCTGCATGTTGCTGCTGCTGCTACTGCTGTTGCTGCTAGTGCCGTTATTGTTGCTGTTGCTGCTGCATGTTGCAGCAGGAGTCCCCGCCACGGCCTTTGCTGAATGCTTCTCTCCTTGGGCCTGGTCCTCTGGCTGGGTTTGGTTGCAGTGCGGTTCGCAGCCTTCTACCTTATTTTTGAGTCCTGCGCCCGCACCACCCATTTTGGCGCTTGGGCTGGCGTAGCCGAGTTGACAAGCCTAATTTATCAAAACAAACCACATTTGCACAATTGCAAAGGCAAACGCTGAAAACGAAATGCAAAACTAGGGAAACTAAGTACGGTACAGTGGAATAATTCAATTACTACCTGCGGTAATTTACGTGATAACGAAATATGGAAATTGTAGCTGCACGGGATAATTAATTAGTTAACAAATGTAAAAATAGTTTGAAAATCCACAAGCTTCTGAGGTTGATAGAGAGGAATCCTGTTTTCATCTAATTGTGTTTTTCCCCAATGGAATAAAATGTATAAATTAATTTTTTACCGAGATTTTATAAAGAAATGCAAAGACAGCTGAAGGTCAGGTTCCAAATAGATTCCTTTTGCCAGATAGTTATTTTCCTTATAAATATATATCCTATATATTTTAGTCTACAATCAGAATTCGAAGTTTAATTCACGGTTATCGTTTATTGATCGAACATAAATTTTAATATTTATCTGGCTTAAACATTTTCCCTGCTTGAATTTTGAAGTATGTATATCTAATTCAGTTTGTTTGCTGCCAAAAAGTTAGTTTGGCATAACACACTACGGTATTTCATTATCGCTAATCCCAATTAAGTGTTTTGGCTACTTTCTTTTAATTATCGCGCCCGGTCCCAGTGTGCTCGGAACCGCCATTGAGGTAGCGATGTACTATGACTGCTCCTCCGTTGGGGATTGAAAGGGCCGGAGGACCAAGGACGAAGGACGAGGACGAGGGCGAGTTGGGTGGCCCGCCAGCAGCAGGCGGTCATTAAGCAAATGGCTGCACTTGCAACGCCAACTGCAAGGCCCCAACTTGCGTACCATACATATATATTTGTATATACACATATAGAAAGCACCACCATACATTGACACTGTTGGGGGTTTTTTGTGGGGTTTGTGGGGTTTTCCGGGGAGGGGGGGGGGAAATGGGGATACGACGGATGTTTGCTGGAAATTAAATTGTATTATTATGGCGAGACATTCGTTGCTGTAGCTGCCTGCTGCCTTCTGGCATCGCATTAGTTAGCAGGCTGGCAAAATTGTTGCCTTTTGCCATTATTTCAATTTTATAACGAGAGTGGTAGTCACCCTTTCCACCTGTCGGTGGTCGGTTGCCACCGGTTGGTCCTCATCCTGGTCTGGGCTACTGGTCTCTGGTCGCTGCTCCTGTTTCTGTTTCTGTTTCTGCCTCGTTCTGATGTGGCTTGGTTTGTTTTCTGGTCTAGGTTGGGCTTTAATTGAACGACCCTCTCGAGTTGGTCGCCGTCGCCGTCGCCGTTCAGGTGTTGACTTTGACCCAACCGTCAAAAAATAATACACAAAAAATAACCTGTGGGGGCGCACATGCAAAACGCTCATTACATTAGGGAAATACGGGAACACTCCCCACTTGGCCAACCCCCCCGCAAAAAAGTTATCATCTGGGGAGAGAGAAACCGCGCCCCAAAACGAACTCAAATTAAAATAGCATTTGACAAATTTTGGTCACATTTATCAAGTCATGTTAATTTTTAACTTCCCCACACTTTCCGCACTTTATGTCATCAGCAATTTGCGTTTCGTTTTGGGGCCGAGATATTTAGATTTCGACATCCTTTTTGCCTTGAGGGTTTTGGCAAGGAGGATATCATTTTATTGGGGGCGATTTATCTCGGTAATTTCAAAGTGTGTGACCTAATGATTGTCAGGCTTGGCTTTTGAATAAATATAAAATTAAGCAACTTGACAAATGTATTTGGGAAGGAAATGTTGTATATTTCCTGCAATGTAAATCGTTTTATCTTAAGTATATTGTAAGTAGAATGTTTGATGTCATTAAAGTTCATGCATAGTTTGTTTTCAGAGGCTACAGACATTGAAAGTGTGCAAGAAATAATTGCATTCATTTAATATTTTTTTAGTTTGAAAAGTTATTTTCTCGGCAAACTAACAAAGTTTTGCCAACGTTATCGGGTGGCCAATGTGAAAATGAATCCCCCTTCCATTGCTGTCTCATTATCTTCACCTGCCTTCACACTAATTAAGCTCGCTACCTTTTATCTTTGACAGGATGTCCTTCGGCTGGTATCGGGCCGAGGTTATTGGCGCCATGGCCTCCGTCTTCATGATCTGGGTCATCACGGGCATCCTCGTCTGGTTGGCCATCGGAAGACTCATCAGCGGCGATTACGAGGTGAATGCGAAGATCATGCTGATCACCTCGGGCCTGGCCATATTGGTTAATGTCATGTAAGTACTATATATACATATTTTTACCCCGATATGCAGATCTTTGATTGCTGGCAGTCTGTCTGTCTGCTTGCCCGTGCGACTGCAAAGTTTTCCTGTTTTCCCCTGGGCAGTTTTCCAATTGCAATTGCCGCAATCAACTTGTCCCTGGCATGGGCCACCAAATGGGTCAACACACAGTGCACTGTGCACAGTGCGCACTGCAAACGTCTCCCGATCCCAGGCCCATTCCGACTCCTGACTGGCATTCCCTTACGTATCCGCCAGTTGTTGCGGCAACTTTCTCCACATTTTAGCGACAACTTTTTCCACAAGTTTAGAATTTCTTCTCGTTCCATTTTTTTTCTCCTTTCCTTTACGTTGGTTTTTTTTTTTTTTTTTTTGTATTTTTTCTCCCTGCGTCAACAAAAGCCAAAAGCGGTGTCGACGAGGAGTTTGCTTGTGTTTGCGTTGGCCAGCCCCAAAGGTGGAAAATTCTCTAGGCGGAATGGGGTAACGTGCCATTGAAAGGGGCTTCGATATTGCTCCAAACGTGGAGTCCCTCTAGCCATCGGATTTCTTTTCACTTTGGGAAGCTAAAAATAAGTCGAGGCCGGCAAAGTTTAACGCTTTATTTAATTTAATTGTTATTTTACAATTGATTTTTCTTTTGGTTTTTGGTGAAGGCCAGTTAAGCTGAAGTAATGTTATTATTAGAATGGTTTAGAATTGTTTTACCTGAGAATCATTTGGGAAATCTCGGTTAGAGTGCTATGGTTTGATATGGCTAGATATTAATGAAATTACGTTTAAATGATAACAAATATACCATTAACTGTTTTGTGTTTTAAAGTATGCACAATCGATTTCTTCGATTTTCTTTTTTTCTATATTTTTCTACATACCGATAAGATTTAATCCATTAATTCTATCCAAAGCTATTAATCGCGGTTAATTTAAGCTCCAAATTAAAGTGGAGTGCTTTTAGAAGAGCATTCTTCGTTCGTGCAATTACGTACTAATCGCTTCGCTTGTTTTGATTTCGTCGAGTGCAGAACTTGCAAGCTTCTGACATCCACTCCCAGCTCTCCCCTCATCCTGCCACGCCCCCTTTTGCCCCATACTTGCCACCATTGATGCTCATTCATGTGGCTGTCGAAGCATAGTTTTTGGCGCATAAATCGCAACGTTCAATGCCGAGCTCACACACACGTTATGCTAGCCTCCCCTCCACTAACCACCCATCACCCACCGTCCACCGCCCCTTGTCCCCATGCCACGCCCACCTCAGCTCACCTATTTTCCTGCACAAGTGTTGCAGCAGCAGCTGTTGTTGTTGTTGTTGTTGTTGTTGTTATTGGTAGTCGGGCGGTAGCGCAAAAATTTTCCAGTTGACGTTGGCATTTTCAGTGTTTGCCACTTGAATTGTTTGATTACGTGAATTGATTGTGAAAAACGTGCAGCAGAAGCAACTCTCCTGGCTTACAGATTTTGGCCAAGAAGACGATGGCCGGACTTCGTCGAGATGGGCGGAACATAAGGGGAGGGGGGCGTGGTTAAGGCCATCTTTGGAAACTGCCATAAAAGTAGGAAGTTAAGTCAAGTCAATTCTGAAGCATCCTGCTGATTCTTTTATGTGGGGGAAAAAAAGTGGCCATTAAAATACAGAAAATTTGACTATTTTAAATGTAGTTTGTATCGAATTAAAAAAAATTACTGTTTACCGACATATATTTCTACATGTTCAACTTAATTGCATTTTGGGTCATATTTTTTCAAGGGTTATAGAAGTTTTTTATGTGTAGCTTCGACCTGTGTTCGAACAACGGAATTAAATGGCCACCTTTTACCGTTATGCGTTTGGGGCAAACGAGTTTGCAGCAAGTTTCAACTATTTTCAGTCCCGTTTGCTCGCTCGTTGTTATTGAAGGCTTTTTACTTAGTTTCATTTAGTTGTAGAGCGCTCTCTGGATTTTATTTTTTTGCCAGTTTTTAGTTCAATTAGCACAATGCCGAAAATAGCTAGCAAGCGCTTCATTCGCACACACACACACACGTACACACACAAATACACACGCACACACAATTTTCCGGATTCGCTTTGTGTGTTGTTGTTGGGTTAACTTTTGAGTGGCGGCAACGACGTCCGTCGACTTCACATCGTTAAAACGCCCATTAGGGCAAAAGCGGGGGAAATCGAGAAACAGAACGAAAAATGGAAAAAGGGAGCGGAAAAACTGAACCACTGTAATATTACATCCGATGAAACACAGCTTCGATTTTTAATTAATATTCCTTATTTGCAAAATGGTTTTCTAAATAAAGATATCTTAAAATCTATTGGAATAAAATTCTAAATTTTATTGATCTTCTGAAAGACCAACCTCAACTTCATTTTATGTATGCGATTCCTGTATAAAATTATTGCATACTTTTTGGGGCCATATATTCTCATTTCTGTTTAAGCAAATCGATTAAAGGTATCTTTTATTTATTTCAAAAAATATGCTATCAATTTAGTTAACTAAAATCCGATCTAAAATACGACTTTCCGCCCGATAAAGTTTTTACTGTGCCCCAAGCCACTCGAACTCCTATGAGGCCTGACCTTAAACTGCAAGTGGGACATTAGCGAGAGCAAATGCCAGTGAAATATGAGAGGTTTATTCTGGTGGGAAAAGTGGCGGTGGAAAGTACTGGGGCAGCGAGGTGCTAAAGCAATTACAGCAGAGTGTGGAGATGAAGGCGCTTAGCAATGGGAATGGCAGTTAGGACAGATGGATGAATGCACAACGAAATTTTTCTTTAAAGCAATCAAGTAAATTTGATACGGAGCAGAGTATGTTTTTGTGGCACAGAATGGCAAAAATGCAATCTAATTTTAAATCTAATCACATGTATTTGTACTGCAAATAATTAAATTTGGTTCGATGTGCAAAAAGGTTTTTATAAGTTTAAATTCAGGTTTAGAATGAATTTTAATTTGTTAAAGCTGGGAGACCAATATACAATGGTACTTACCAAACTTATGTACAATATCTTCATAGTAAAATAAATATGTGGAAGTATTTTCGTCACAATTTAGTACAGAAACATTTCTAAAACGTTTGTTTTTCCTACAATATTACCAATAATATCTCTTATGAATTTTCTTCTTCCACTTGATATATTTTGCTCTTGTTTATGTTTAGTGTTCACTATGTGAATATTGAGCCTGGTCGTCTTTCTTCAGTCTCCTCCATTCTGGCCAGCCACTTGAGACCGAAGCTGGCCAAAAGCTTGTTAGCCTGACAACTCAATTTCATTTTCAATTTCTTAAGACCACGCTGTGATGGCCCACCCAGCCAGTCAGCTCGGTTCGAAGAAGTTACCAGGCCAAATGTGGCCATAATTTGTCAAACAGCAAAAAGAAAAAATAGGAGACGCCAGGAGAGAAACACAAGGAGGAAATAAATATAAACGGTGATGAAGAAGGAGGAACGCTGGCTGCCGTTTCGTGTGGAGCATCGCGTTGATGGCCACTAAATAAATTGTACCGAGCACCAGAACCAGCTCGAATTGCAGGAGTCAGTAATGCCAAATCAGCTTTTTTCAAAAGTGCGACACATAAAAATCGTAATCAGTGCTAAAACCGGATTCATTACCGCTAAACTAGATACTTTCAACTCAGGAGGATCCTATAAATTTAGTTATTCCTATAATCCTGTTCAGCATTTGCTTTAGAGTTCATAAATGTGTATGATTTTATGATTCTACTGCATAAAGATTTTCTTTTTTAAAGCTTTTCACTTAAGTTTGAATAACATTTTTCAGATTTAAACAAAGTTTGTTTTAACCCGTATAAATAATTCAAATTTAAGAAATCAGAGACCATGAAACGTGATAGTGTTTTGGAAACTGTTTCTAACCAAGTTGACTTGCCTTCTTCGGGAACAACGCTGTGTGTTAACCAAAAATAGCGCAGATTGTTAGGACTCCACCGCCGGCGCCCCTTTCCAATGGCTCCTAACCAGCGTGGCCACGTGGTCAGTGATGGCGGTCCATGGTGGCGCCAGGGATTCCATGCGGAGCACATACGCTTTTCGACTTTGAACATCCGATTGCCGAGGCATTACCCCGGCCATTCTACCCCCTCCTCCTCCTCCTGCCTTTATCTGCCACCCCTCCCGTGTCGTGTGTGTCCTCGAGCGCAAAAAATGCCAATGCGAGCGACATTCCCCGACCATCGGCAGCTCCCCCTGCCCCTCCTTCTCCCCGTTCTCCTCCCCCTTGGCTGACTGCCCCGCCAACCCGGCATTGTTGTTCCAACTGTGGCACTGTAATTTGTAGCGCGCAATGAAGCATTTCCCCTTGATTTTGCGGCATCTTTACTCGCCTCGTTAGTGGCCAACAAACGACAGCAGCCATGACAACACCAGGACTTGGGCAACTCGGGAACAGGGAGCAGGAAGCACGGATTCGGGAGCAGGGAGTAGGGAACAGGGAACAGGGAACAGGGGGAACAGGTCCTGCGACCCAAGGACCAAGGGGAGAAGCGCTCCGGCTGTGTAGCGTATATGCCATGTCCTGATTTAATTGACAGGAACATAAATATTAGCGCATATCTTGACTCAGCTCGCCTTGGCTTCGCTGGGCTTTGGCTTTGGCTTTAGCTTTGGTCGCGTATGTGAGTCCTGCTCGGATTTGCAGCCACTAAGGATGTCTTGGGGCATGTTGGGAGCTCAGCTCTTGGTCTTGGTATTTGGTCTCGGTCTTGGTGTCCTGGTCTTGGTCTTGGTTTTTGGTCTTGGTGTTGGTCTCGGTCTGGTCTGTCACCCGGATGAGCAGCTCGTTAAGCTGTCGGGCCAAGGAGCCAAGGAGCAGCAGCCAGGACCAAGGACTAAGGATAACGACAACGGGACACGTTTATTGCACTCAACGTAACGTAACGCGAGCTTTACACCGAGGGCTTGAATTTATTTGACTAGTGGTGTTTCCCAGACATTCACTGCAAATCTCCTAAAAAGGTGAACTCATAGAAAAGATTGAGGGCTCTAAAGAAAAGGAGGTTTAGCTAATATTATTAGAATACTTTAAATGATTTATTTGTTAAAGTCCAAAATTCTATCGAAATGAATTTTCAATTTGGAATATGTTTCCTGGTTTGAATGTTTGAACAAACGTATTTCAGTGAAATAAAAGTTTATAAAGTAATGAAATAACTTGTATTGAATTACCTTTAGTGTTCAATGGGAAAATGTATTACTTTACTTTGAGCATAACTATTTTCTATTTTTTCACTTCAAAACCGCGACTCACTTAATTGCTAGACGGCTTTATATAAATTTTTTATTTGCCTGCTGATTAAAGTTGTTTTTATAGGAAAGGGTTATTTTTTTAACCCGAATCAAGCACAATGACTTTTTATGGCTGTATAAAAAATGGTCCGACAGCGTATAACTTTACGTTATAAATGTTTTATTGGAATGAAAAAATTTTTTTTTCGAAACGCTCACGTTTGTGAAATGTATATAACCATTTTTTCCTGAGTTCAATAAACTTTATGTTTACCGCCCGGCGTAAAGTCATTTTAAGACCATCGAAATGTCTTTGAGTCATCAATTGACGGCGTCAATTAGCCGCAAATCGACGTCGCAGCAGAGCTTTCCAGGCATTTTGGCCGGGCTCGAATCAAATCGATGGTTAGATGGTTAGATGGCGGGTTCCGCTCCGTGGCTGCTCACTTTGCGCTTTGTGTTCGCTCCTGCCAATGGTTGTGCGTAATTTATGCGAGTTTATTTATTGATGCCCGGCACTGCATTGTTTCCCCCAAAAAAGCCGGCTAAGTGCAGCCGGCGGCGACCGACAGAGACAGAGAGAGAGAGAGAGAAAGGGAGAGGGAGAAAGAGCGAGCGGGAAACAAAACGGAGGAGTCCGCCGGTCCGTTGGCATGTCGGTCGGTCCGACCATGGCCTTTTTCCCCAAATAGAAAAGCCATAAATCTGCAATGTCGGAGCATTTAAAATGAATAAAAAGTCAATGTGCCGAGCTATTAACTGCCGATCCATGCCGTGAGTTGAGGGGGGAATTTTGTTGGGGGAGGTAGATGGCTTTTCATTTTGGAGTTTGGGAGGTTGAATCAGGAATGGGAGGATGGAGGGATGGCCTGGTCAACCGGTTGCCATTTTCGACAATACATTTGTATTTGCATGCGGCAATGTGTCCGGACGTACTGAACTGGAGCAGCCCCCAGATGGGCCCGGGGTCGGAATCATCGGACAGGAGCGGTTAGTTTGGCTGGTCGGCTCCGAGGATCTCTCGCACAGGACTCGCATACACACACATACACAAACACACCTTCCGGTACACAGAGCTGGAAAACAGTGAGCACTGAACACGTGATTCAGGAGTCAGGATGGTGGATGGTGGATGGTGGAGGTGCATCTACTAGTGCGCACTGTACAGTGCCTAAAATTATTTATTTTGAAAAGAAAAGTATAATTGATTTATGGAAATGACTGCACAACCTATAAAGTCTAGTTAAAGGGTCCTAAAAAATATGGCCTGTCAAATAAAAGTGGCGAAAATGTACACTAAAGTGTTACGTGCATTTTCATAATAGATCAGATTTTTGAATACAAATTGGTTAGGTAAGCTAAAAGTGTTTTTGAATAAATCAAAACAGATGAGCTTTTAACTGGGAATATAGTTTACGGTGACACTTAAAAATATTTAACGATTAGGTAATTAATTCACTAAAGAGTGTGTCGAATAGTTTATATTCGTAACAAATTTATATTGTTAGCAAGTTCCACGTTTTAATTATTTCTTGTTGGGTTTTCGAGTAACTTGTTTTATATCATTTTCACATTCTCTATTTGGATCTTTTGATCTTAGCATTATGGACAATGTCAGTTGCAAAGTGAAACATAAAAGTTTTATTTCGTTTTAAGCCTCGTGCAACAACTGACAGTTCGGCTTCAAATTATATCTAAGAGACTCCGGCTTCCTGCCGTTTAATTCCATTTGGGGACTTGCTTGGCCATTCGGCTCCACTGTCCGTGACCCGAGTGTGTGTTTGTGTGTGTGCTTGTTTGACTGTGCGGTGCGACTGTTGTTGGTGCATTAAAATGCTGAAATAAAATGCCAAACAATGCAAAAGCGTTGCCCGCATACCGTTGCAGATCCCCCTGCTCCACCCCCCTCTCCACCCCCCTCTCCTCCCCCTTTCCATTTCGTCCACAAAAAGAAAACTCAACATAAAAAAGATGGAGAAACATTTTGGGTGCGTTTTTGTTTTCATACTGTGGCCTGGCTAACGTGCCCCAGACAGGGATGGATTTTTTGGTTGTGTGTGTGTGTGTGTGTGTGTGTGTGTGTGTGCGGTGTGGTGGAGGGGGAGTGGGGTTTTGGGGGGATTGAGGGGAACCTGCGGAACTGGCACAAAATAGCTTGCAACATTTTCAAGCATATTAAATATTTGTGATAACGTTTTCCAATTTCTCTCTCTCTCTCGAACTTGGTTTTCCGGCTAGCATGGGCGTTCAGCTGCAGCACGGCCATTCCCATGGACTCGGCGGAGGCGGCGGTGGGCATGGTCACAGCCACGGTGGCAACAAGAAGTCGAAGAAGAAGACGCCCGCAGCGATCCCATCCCATGCCCATGCCACATCCACTCCCTGTTCCGCATCGCCCAATCAACGGATCGAAGGGGGCGTGGCCTTTGCACCCGAGGATGCGGAGTTGCCTGGCAGCGGACTGCCAACGTACTCATACCAGAACGCCAAGCTGGTGGATCCATCGCTGGACCTCGAAATTGCGGCCGTTTTGGCGGAAACCGCTCCCGGTGCTCATCATCACGGCGGACCCGTTGGTCGCGAAGCCGTAAACATGAATGTCCGGGCAGCTCTTATTCACGTGATTGGCGACGTCATCCAGAGCCTTGGTGTTTTCGTCGCCGCCGGCGTGATCTACTTTTGGCCAGAGTACTCCATCGTTGACCCCATTTGCACGTTTGTGTTCTCCATTATTGTCCTCTTTACCACGTTTACGATCATGAAGGATGCCCTGCTGGTGAGTGAAAAATGGCGAACGCAAAGTGTCTTGTTTATTGTTCTTTATTGTGTGGGGCAATGCATTGTTAATATACAACTACTGACGTGATAATAAATATAAAGCACTGTCAGTATTCCATCATACAAAATCGATCAAAATTCAAAATGCAATAATTTTAGATTCATAACTTTTCTAATTTTAAACAGATTTTGAAGTTGCATATCTCTGAAAGTTTTTATGTATTTTAATTCTCTAATCAACTGCATCATTAGAATTTTTTTTTTGACCGACTTTTTTTCAATTTTTTTGATACAACCCCTGTCCAAACCCCATTTCCAAAAAATGGGTTTGCTGAAAATTTACCAAATTGCAATTATTCTAGGTCCAAAACTTTTCTAATTTTAATCAGATTTTGAAGCGGCATACCTCTAAAAGTTTGTATTTTAATTCTCTATAAACTTTTTTTAATTTTTATGATACAACCAAAATTCCCACATGCTAACAAGAAAGCGCTATCCATTCTCATGAATATAATAAAATATATTCTTCGAGCATTATAAGCCAAAAGCTTTTGAAAACGTAACCGTATTATTCATGTTATTGCAATTATCTGAATAGACCTCCCTGCTTACCAAGATTTATCTGGTTTCTTTTAATCTGTTCAACCTGTTTGCTGTTTATTCCCGCAGGTTCTCATGGAGGGGACCCCCAATTACATGCACTACGCGGAGGTGCTGCAGATTTTCCAAGGCATCGAGGGCGTTGAGCGGGTGCACAATTTGCGCATCTGGGCGCTGAGCATTAATAAAGTGGCGCTATCTGCGCATTTGGCCATTGGTAAGTAGCTGCCCCCGGCGTTCAGAACAGGCAGGGGCCTTTGCCGACCGAAAACAGACCAGACCAAACCGAATCAGACTAGAAAGGTCGTTTCGGTGGCCTTTAGCCCTGATGCATGTGTTTGTCCGAGGGGGTGGAGTGTGTGGGTTTTGGGTGTTTGCCTGTTTTTCGGGGGGGTGGAGTCGCGCTTTTGGCCATGGAGGGTAATTATCCCAATGGATTTGTTGTTGTTTTAAGCAGTTGCCCCCCTCCCCACCGCACTGCTGGCAGTGTTTTCAGTGCGATGTCCATGGGCAGACAGTGAGCAATTAGCTTAATTATTTTTGAAATGGCTTTTTAAGCGTGGACAATTTTGATAGAGCCAGCCAGCTAGCAATCGAGGAAGAGAAATGGAGTTGGCCCCCATTAGTGTTATCCTTCCTAATCGTTTTCCCTTCCATTCTTTTCCCCTCCAAAACAGCTGCCAATGCGAATCCAAAGATGATCCTGGATGCAGCCACCTCGGCGGTTCATCTGCGCTACAATTTCTTCGAGACGACCATTCAGATCGAGGAGTACACGGCCCAAATGGAGAGCTGCCTGCAGTGCAATGTGCCCGAAAAGTAGACACCTTATACAGTGTGTACTGTACCCCCAAATATAATAACAAAATGCGATGTATATTCAATATTTATTTTGGCAAACGCCAGATAAGAGTGACACCCTGTCCGTTCGTTTGATGGGTAAACAAATTCCAGATGCCGGCTAGAACCGGCAAACAAATCAACTACGAAATATATTAATAATAATAATAAAATTGGCGTTGATTTTGCTCCATAGTTTATCAGTTCATCACAAACACCTGGGAGTCGCTTAATATAATATATTCTGCTTTACATGTACCCATCATAAAGTGTCAAACAGCTGGAGTTGTTTAACATATTCCGCTCATAACGCTCACTTTATCAAAAGCTGATGACAGTGTGTGTGTGTGTGTGTGTTTGTGTGTGGTGCAAGCGGATGATAAATATCGCTTGCTTTATAATCTGAATAATGCGAAATATTCTGAATTTTTCAAAATTTATTTTTAAATACTTCTGGTTTTTTATTGGCTCTGTACAACGAGGGGATAAATCCATTTTAAAATGCTTAAATGAAATGACTTTGGTGAGCACAGCATGCCTGTATCAAAGCAATTCGTATCGGTCACCAATCAACCCTATCGAAATCCATTGGTTTTTTTTTTAATCGAATTTCCCAATCGCAATCTCTTCGGTGCATTTTTTCATGTAGCAAATTGTTGATGGTTACCTGCGGTGCATTGGCCGAAAGGGAGTTTGTGCTACGGTGGTACGTACGTATTTTCCATCAAATTCGATGCATGAGCGATATGCAAACACGCATAAAAGTTATTAAGCTGCCGATGGCTGCCACCGGCTACGTTGCACCCAAAAATGGACACCGCGCCCAGAACTAATGCCAATTTATGGTGAAGCGGCACTAGAATGGAGCCACGGTGGATTCCCCTGGCTGAAACACCTGGCGGCTTACCTGGCCCACTGGTCGCTGGTCGCTGGTCACTGGGCCATTATGCATAATTTGGATGTGTGGCCATTGCGTAAGCGACATTGCGTGTGGAACGAAGCGACGCTTTCAAATTATGTCTAAATTGTTGACCGGCACAAACTGGGCGAAAGTTGATGGTTAACAGTGGGTGGGGGGGTATTGTCAGTGGGAGTGGGTGGGTGAGCGGAGGTGGAATTGGCGGTGTCTCGCGAGAGCTAACAGCTAACATTTGGCGCCTAATCGCCGCCAATTTGTTGACAGATTTGCATGCTCGCAGCGAACAAAGATGCCGCCGTCACCTTGAACAAATGCCGCAAATTTCCGCCAAACTGAAGACCAAAGACTGTGGCTCAGTTTCCCCAGCGGGGAATGGGGGAAGTGGGAGGTGGGCGGGAGGGGTAGGGGATTCCCCCAAGAGTAGTAATCCCCCGAAGTGGCCAATGCCCCGAGACCCATTGCGATATTTCACTCCTTGCGCATGCGCAGCTTTAAATGTGCTAAAAAGGACTAAAATGAGCAGCGGAGAGAAGTTTGTTTTCGTCCATGTGCTCACATTGCGGCTTTTACTTTTGGCGGCCACTTGACCTGCACTTGGAATTGAATGCACTTCGCCCACAGCCAGAAGAAAAAAAAGGAGAAGGATGCAGACCCACACTTTAAGAGATTAACATGCAGCGCCCCCACATCCATAAAAAATAAAGAGTGCTGGCCAGCCGTTTGAATGCTGAATGATTTAATGTGAAGTCGGCAGGATAAATACAGGAAATCATCTTGAAAAATTCGAACAAAGCTGAATGCTGAATGCACTCGAATTGTGAATGTTCGTCATAAGCTGATTGCACACAGGTGATTCCCGCTGCAAATGGAATATATATCCTATGTTAAATATCGAAGAGAAGTTGATCGAAATATTTTACGGCAGACACAATAAAGGATATTCAAGTGAGGAGTTTACTTTCAAAATTTACAAACAATTTATTTCAGGTTTTTAAATCGATACTAAACAGCTTTCTATTCTATTAAATCCACAAAAGAAACCTGAGACATTTTTACCAAGAGCCGTACTCATTTGCAAAAAATTTGTTCAAAAACAGGCATAATGATGATTTATTTATTGCACGATTCATGTTTTTTAACAATAAATCACAGTGTGCCGCTCGGATAATTTTATTGAAATAAATTCAAGCAATTAAAACCTTCAAATGCTTTACAATAAAGTTCGTTTTACTTGGAAAGGCTGGAAAATTCGCTGGCTGTAAACGTAATTGGATAAGCTTTTGATTAAAATATAACATTTCGGGAAAAACTTAAAGCTCTTGATAATTGTTTGTCCCCCGCTAAGCCAGCCATCTCATCCTGTCACGATTTCACTTCAACATTTCGCCAAGATGCACAACAAATTTTAGCAAGAAATTCCGCGTGCAATTCCAGGGGGGTTGAGGGGGGAGTTTAAGGGTGGAGTTTAAGGGGGTGAAGTGAAGGAGAGGGGGGACTTAGACGATGACGTCCAACGTCGTTGCTCATTAAAAACTTTTAGCCAGTTCGAACTTTTCGAGCCGGGAGATAAACAACAAGCAAGACAAGGCGAGGAGTGTAAATTATAAATGCACAAAGTAAACGAACAGGGCGCGAAATTTTTCGGAAACATGAAACTGGAGCAGGATAGCTAGATAGCTGGGATAGCAGGGAAAAGTTATTGGGGGCAATAGGACTTGCTGATTTACTAGAGAAACATAAAATTTATTTTAATGGGACTTGCATTCGGCACATGCTCCACCAAATAAACAACGTTTAAATGACAATCGAATAGGGGTAGCGACTTTAAGCCCGGCATAGATTGGCTGAATGCCCCGGCGGAAAACAAGTGCATTGCATATTTTAATCAAGGGAGAAATTGTATTGAAAAATATTGTTAACAATAACAGGCAGTGGCGGTGGCGACATCGGCGGCATTCGGTGGCATCGGTGGCGGCTGCATTTTTTAAATGACCCCACTATACAGGCCAACATGTGACAGCCGTGGCGGCGACAATTAAAACTTTTTACTAGCATTCAAATTTTTCAATATAAAGCGACCGGTTCTCCGCGGCCATCGGAGCTGCAACCGTATTCGTGGCCGTAACTGACCACTGCCGGGAACACAGCGGCAATACAACAGCGGCACGGCCAAACAAAAAGAGCCATAATAAAAAAATCAGCAGGAATAAAAGCAGAGGAAAGCAAAAGCCGCGACATTTCCACGCTGTGTAAAAGGGGAGCGGAGGGGGAGTGAAACCCCTCGGAAAATGGGTACTGAGCATGGTGGCATGTGAGGCTCCGCAGATCGTTGAAAGCGGCGTTAAAAAAAACGATGAACCCGGCTTAGTACTCAAAGTCAAAGTTTATATACCCTGCAGGGTTACTAAAGTTGGGTACTTGAAGGAATCTTGTTCAACCGCTTTGATTTTAACGTATTTAAGGGGAAAGTTATAGGGAGTTAAAAATATCTTACAGTGGCTTAGTTTTATCTTTAATTTAATAAATCATTTTAAAAAGAATCCAACAGATCCAAACTTGTCAGTCAATTTCTCTTTAAGGAAACATCTCTTTATATCAATGCATTACAAAGTACCTATACAAATCTGTAATATCCTTTGAGAGGGTATGAAAGTACGTGCCTGTTCATGAGGAAAGTGCAGAAGGTTCGCCACAGGGCATCTGCCAGTGCAATATTTGTCTATGAAAGGAAGCCGCGACAACTGGATGGGAAGGCGGGGGAGTTGGTGGCTGGCAGTGCCAATATAATTCCACATCGGATGCATTGCAGTTGCTTAATATAGCTTTAAAAAAATGACATAGCCCTCCATTGTACCAGAGCTGAACAAGCGAAATATTTAATTGATGGATGGAGCCGAGGTCTTTATTTTCTTAATGCCCAACAAAATATCCATATTTTTCAGTAAAAGAAGTGAAAATATTATAGAGTCTACCGGTTTTTCTTAAATAAAAATATGAGTCCGATAGCTGTGGAGTTTCTTTAAAGATGAGTTTATCTTTTGCATATTCGGTAACAAGTAAACAACATTTAAGGTTATGACTAGAATAAAATTTAACTTAAATAGGTTAGAGGAAGAACATTTTCTAATATTTAAAAATCAATTTAGTTAAAACCAAAAAAGTTAGTCCACTACAATCTCGAAAAATCTGTAGCTGTCCAAGCAAACACTTTTTGTCAGCCAACAAGCAGCAGGCATACAATGTGTCACAAACTTTTCCGCTAACTTAAAACTTCCGGGCGAACTCAGCTAGGACTTGACCGCATTAAAGTCTAGAAATTTTTTGTTTCGACTCAAAAAGAGCCATGAATTATGTAGAATTTAATCCGAAAGCTTTTGCGAAACGGATCGATGTTGGTCGGTGCCCGCAGTGGGGCCTTGAAGATGCATTTTTTTTTTTTTTTTTTTTGTTTGCACCCGCCACGCCAACAAACAACGAAAGCAAAACAGCCGGGCCGAAAGCAGAAGCTACAACAAATTGTTGCCAAGTTTTCTAGCGCAGAGCCTAGGACACAGAAGCATAGAAAATGGCACAATAAACACTGAACGCATATAAAGGACATTCGAGTTCATTTGTTCGGCGCGTTTGCGGCGGCCCATGGTTAAAGGATGTTATGGGGGCGTTTGGGGCTTTTCGGAGGGGGCGGGCTCGGTACGGTCGGCCGGTTGGTGGGCGTGGCGCTCTGGGTCGACTGGTGCATTGTAGTCGGCATTGTTGTTTTTGTTAAAAACAATGCCACGACGGCGGCACCGAAAAATGGCTGCAACAAACTTTTCGCAAACTATACAATTGCATAAAATCGTAAAAAATTTATAGGGAATACATGCGCTCTAGGGGAGAAATGGACAACAACAACAACAACAATATCAACAACAATAAGAACCACAGAGGCAGCAAACAACAATTGTTGCCATTGCAATGGAGAAGTTGAAAAACGAGAAAATGCAAGAAAAAAGGTTTAACTACATAGGCGACTGTGTAATTGCGCTGAACACCGAAAAACAACAACGAGCCAACAAAAGGCCCCAAAATAAATACATTTAAGTCAATAAAGGGTAAGTTGTTAAAAAGATTAAAGCGATCACTTTAACTGATATTGGTTTTCATAGACACCCTGTTTGTTTGAAATATTAAATTACCTACACGATCTGATAAGAAACGGAAACCATACCAAAAACTTTTTACCATCAAATTTGTGGTTGCCGAAGATTAAAAATGTTGGTAAGGTTTTAAGAAG